TTTCGCCGCCATAATATCGCTGTCTCCGTGGACATAGCCGAAATGTTCATGCAGGTTAAAGTCAGACCCGAAGACAGATATGCCTTAAGATATCTCTGGAGAGGGGATCAACGTAATGAAGCTCCCCAAGAATATAGAATGACGTCGATCATTTTCGGTGCAGCCAGTTCACCCTGCACAGCCATATTCGCGAAGTCCAGTTACGCTAAAAAACACATAGACAAGTATCCAGAAGCCGTAGAAGCTATCATTCAAAACCACTATATGGATGACTATCTCGACAGTTTCCAGTCTCTGGAAGAGGCAATGCGAATATCGAAGGAAGTACGCGACATACACAAAAACGCGCACTTCCCCTTTAGAAAATGGGTTTCCAACGCACCAGAAGTTGTAAAATAATTAGAACCTGACCATGAAGCATCTGAGTCAGTCGATCTGGGAAACAAAGGAACCGAGGAAAAGACACTCGGATTAATCTGGAAACCGGGTACCGATCAGCTGAGCTTCAACCTAAAGCTCGCCCGACTTTCTATCAATTTGCTGCACAAAACACCAACCAAGAGGGAACGTCTCATACGGTGCGTGAAGACGGCACTATACACCGTCCTTCATGAGAGACATCCGCATGAGGAAGTATTAGCCACGCTGCTCTGCGAGGTGGAGTACACAGTAAATAGCAGACCACTGACTCACATCTCTGTAGACAGCGACGACGACGAATCCATCACTCCAAATCACTTCCTTTTAGGAGGATCTGCGAGACTGCCGACACCTGGAGTATTTAATGAAAAGGATATGAATAGCAAAAGACATTGGCGACGCTCCCAGATACTCGCTGACATGTTCTGGCAACGTTGGGTCCGAGAGTATCTACCGGAACTTCAAAACCGGCGGGAGGCCCATAGGCGAGATCCCAATCTCCAGGTGGGCGATCCAGTCCTCATAGCTGACGGCCAGTTACCTCGTAACACCTGGCCACGAGGGAGGGTGGAAGCTGTTTACCCCGGTGCGGACGGACAGATCCGCACTGTGCCGCGCGAAACTCGTGCCGCTGCCGAAGTAGAAGCAACGTCGCTCACCGAAATGGATGCAGCGCCGCTGTGAGAAAATCGTCGCGACGCTGCACGGCGGGAGAGATGTTCGCGACGGCCTAACAACGTTAAGAAACAAAGTTATAAAGAATATTGTTTTTTGTATTAATAATGAAATTACCGAAAAAACTGACTGAAAACGTGTATTAATATAGTTGTTTAGCATGTTTATAACTCTTACTATATTTGTATAGAATTTCGTTTTGATAACAAGTAATGTAAACAACTTTTATTATATTAAGAAAAATTGACCAATCACAGCGCGTCTTATCGTAGAACTCTCTAGAAGTTTTTTAATTAACTGCGTAATAGTTCATACTGAAAATAATGAAAATAATTTTATGTTCTAAAAGAGTTATACGAGTAAATATGACATTGAATTAGTATAAGGCTTATAGATTACAGAAGTGTAGGAATATTTTGTATAGTTAAACGCATTTGATAGTTATATAAAAATTAAAGAATTAATGTACCCAAATATTATGAAAATTTGGGACATTTCGTTTAATAACTTTTTACAATGTTAATGTTTTTAGTAACCTTTATGATATAATAATAAAGTACCAGACTACCGATTTAATGATGTATAGCATGTTAGTGTAGCAATTAGTTTGTATAGAAAATATTGCAATTTATGCCATTTGTATAGTGAAATGTTTATGCAATAAAGAGGCAAAACGGAAAATGGCAAGCGGCTCACTGTAAAGTATTGCTAAAGTCTACCTTAGGGGCTCGTGACCCAGTAGGAGTAGTAGTGTGAAGAACTACCAGTGACAAGTGAAGTGAAGTGAGTGGTATCCGGTGGTAGCTGAAGTGACTAGTAGCAGTATATAGTGAATAGTGAAAGTGTTAGCTAGCCGAAAAAGGTCGTAACTGATATTCGCAGTTACACATAGTGAAAGTGTTAGCTAGCCGAAAAAGGTCGTAACTGATATTCGCAGTTACACATAGTGAAAGTGTTAGCTAGCCGAAAAAGGTCGTAACTGATATTCGCAGTTACACATAGTGAAAGTGTTAGCTAGCCGAAAAAGGTCGTAACTGATATTCGCAGTTACACATAGTGAAAGTGTTAGCTAGCCGAAAAAGGTCGTAACTGATATTCGCAGTTACACATAGTGAAAGTGTTAGCTAGCCGAAAAAGGTCGTAACTGATATTCGCAGTTACATATAGTGAAAGTGGTAACTGAAATCCGCAGTTACACAAGTGATAAAATCAGCTAGTTTAGTTGATAATAGCTGCTAGTCAGTAGTGTTAGAAAACCAGCTACTACCAATAGATATTTGATACCACCGTACAATTTAAAGAAATCTTTTGAAATATACCGTGACCAACCAATATTGAACAACCGTAGTTCAACAACCGTGGTCAATAGTTATAAAATTTCGCGACTAATCAATCAGTCGAACCGCTGGCCACTACCTTGCTATTTGTATTTATTAATCGTGCATTTTGATTTGAACCTCAGTCCACAATATTTCAGCGGCAACCACAAAGACGGCAGTGAAAGTACCCCCCGGACCCTATAGGTGTAGGACGTGAGCGACTCGCGAAGTATCTTCGACAACATTTACTCCGGAGAGTTTCGCCCGTCCGGCACACATAGCATTATGTCGTATGGTATTTTGAACACGCGACTGACACTGAAATTATATTTATTTTACAGAAGAGGGCCATTAGAGCAATATATAATTTAAAACCAAAAGAGTCACCGAGACAAAAATGTAAGGAAATTAATATAATTATCTGGCCTCTCAATACATTTATTAAAATGTAATGTACGATGTTACAAGAACAAACGTAGTTTTGCAAAAATAAGTGATATTCATTCTGTAAATACTAGGAACAGACACAAGCTAGTAGTACCAGTTACTCGACTCCACCGAGTCAGTAATTCATTCTTGGGGCGATGTATACGCTTTTACAACAAAATCCCAGAAAATATACAAAATTTGTCATATGCAAAGTTCAAAAATTTTATTAAACTAAGTTTGTATAAAAAGGGTTATTATAATATTAAGGAATTTATGGATGATAATAACCCCTGGGAAGGGTGATCGCTACCAAGCTATTCCTAATTTGTCTTGTGTTGTTGATTGTAAACATGATTTTAAGCTATTATTTGAAAAAAAAATAGTCCTGCTGGGTTTCTTGCTGGTTCTTCCCAGGACAGAGGTTTTTTTCTCTGCGAACCAGTGGTAAATGAAAAAATTGACTTTCAATAAGTATTGTTTATAATCTACATTGAATAAAAAAGTTTCTATTTCTATTTCCATTCTTCCATCATTCTTATCCGTTCTTTCTTGCTTTTTCGTTTCTACTACTTCTTTTACTCTCTTATTTAGATATCTAAAGACAGCCTTTTTTCTTTCAATATCATCATTCGTACCGCCAGAATTACTAGTCTTTGTTGCTAGTAAATTTAGCTATGCTCTCTACTTTGCTTTAACTTCCATACGTACCTCATTATCCCACCATAACATATTATTTTTCCTTTCATTCGTTCTCTTACTAACACCACATACTTTGGTGGCTGCATCCACTAAACCTTTCTTAAAATTTTGCCGTACATTCTCCAAGTCTAACTCATTACATACAAAATCCATCCAAACCACTTATATTTTCTTTCAGTCTACATTTGTACTTGTCTTTATCACCTTCATCTTGTAACCTTTCTGTTCTAATACGCTGTAACTCAGTAGTGGAAACAGATGTCCGATGACGCCAACGTCTGAATACACCATTAATTCTGCATAAAACCAAATAATGATCCGTTCCTACGTTGGATCCCCAGTAAACCCTTGTATCTACGAGACCACTGCGTTCCTCATTCTTTCATCCACAATTATGAAATCTATGATGCTTCTATCATCAGCTCTTTCCCAAGTATACATGTGAATCCTCTTGTGGCGAAAGAAAGTGTTCGTCACAAAAAGATTCTTATCCATACATATGGTGAGGAGGCTTTCACCATTCTCATTTATACTTTCATCACCAAACGTTCCGAATATCCTTTCATAACCAAGCCTCTTCACCCCAACCCTTCCATTAAAATCTCCTAGCATAATAATATTTTCATTTCCCTTACATTTCATTTCATCTTAGTTCTTAGAGGTGACAACGACGTTGCCTAGGAAGGTGCAATCATTTGATGGACTATTACTTCGTTGGTTACTTCAGTTTTATATAAAACATAAAATAATGATAATGAATAATTAACTGTATTTTCACAATGTCGAGAACATTCCATTTTAGGTATATGTCCTAAATAAACCACCATGGTATCTGTTATGTGGCTTCATGCAATCTAAAACCCACAAAACCTTCTAAAGATATCTAATTTGTCAAAATACGATGAGAAGTTTAAAAGACCTGAGGGAACAGACGAACATACATACATACATTAGCTTTCTAAAATCGTACCTATCCTTTTGACTTTGACTTGTCGAGAGAAATATTCGTTATTCGTCGTATATTATACGTTTATCTACAACAAATCAGAAGACACGACCATAGTGCAATCGGTAATGATAATTTATAATATTATAATAGAGGCAGGCAGTGAATGGTGCAGCACTAGGCAGTGAAGTAATATCAAGTAATATTATATATTTTTGGAAGTAACAGATAACACTATACTTTTTATATCTGTGCTTGTTGTACAATATCTGTGGAATAATGCGTGGGGTAGTTTTTTGTTGTTTCCTTTTCTTCCATTTTTTTTTTTTTTTATTATAAAAAAAATTTTAAAAAAAAAAATAAATTTTTTTTTCAAAAAAAAAAAAAGGGGGTTGGGGGGGCGCGGGTTTTTTTCTGGGTGATAGCTGATAGTTTTCTGACATTTTGTTTTTGCTTTCCCTTTACTGACAATTTAAAAGTTAAAAACTTCCATTTCTCTTGATAAACACGTCATGTCTAACGACTATTTTAACAGTGATGATTCTCCCAACAAAACTAACTCTCATTTACATCTTCCTAGCCCAATTATAACTCGTCGTAATCGAACCGCATCGACGTAAGTGGAAGAGGTTCATTTTGTTAATTTTTGAGTACCTACTGTAGTTTTGTTTACAAACTATAATTTCTTCATTTTTTATTTTAGTTCAGAAAGGGCTTTGGGTAATCCAGTAGAAACTGGTAAAATTAAATCATTTTGTCGAGAGAAGGGTCATGGTTTCGTGACTCCAGAAAAGGGCGGCGAAGATCTCTTTGTACATATTTCGGAGTAAGTATATTTTAATTATATCATACTTTAGTGGTTTAATTTCATTTAGACCATAATAGTTGTAAATGTTTACCATATTATGTCATTTGATTATTGATTGAAATATGTTGTTTTGTCTTACAATTTTATATTCAATTTTTAGATTTAGTATTTAATAATCTGTTAATTTTAAATACTTAGCAATTTGTTGTGTGGGAATTAAATCTGTGGCCTGCAGCGCTGCCGACAAATAATTAGTCTTCTACATAATAATTGCATGTTGATTAGAAATTATCACACTTGCCTTATGTCATAATATTAAGCATCAAAATTTTCTGTTTCTAGCATTGAAGGCGAGTATGTCCCTCTACCAGGTGATGAAGTGACATACCGACTTTGTCCAATTCCGCCAAAATTTGAAAAGAACCAAGCCGTCCATGTGCGTATTGTACACCTTACACGTGAAAAACATCTCAAGTGGGATGAGCCGCCACCATTACACTCTTAATTCTGTCTCAATTTATACACCAAAAACACCTTGCAAATATATCCCTGTCATCTGTTGCTACAGGTATATTTATATAAGCCTTTAAAGGCCTAACATATTTATGTATAGTTTTTTAAGCTCATATTCACTATGTCTTTTCTTTATTTGTAAAAGAAAAGAATCCAAGGTTGTATCAATTTAGAATAATATTTCAGTCCAAAAGAAACAGTATTTCATCAAGTGGGAAGCCAACATGTGGTGCTAAATTTTAGAAGGTTTTACCATCATCTTAATATTTTAATATCAGATATTGATAATACAGTGAAAGGTGGCTTCTTACAAGCAGCTTATTATGTTTACAATGTTTATTTGTAATATTAATTTCATCAATGGATTAGTCTAATTGTAATATGCAGTGTTTAATTTAAATGGTAACCAATAAGTTTATATAGATTATGACTGCTCAGATTATCAAATTAGTGTAATAAACACCAGTTTTTTTCCCAATTATTTTGAATAAATCATTATCAAATATGACCATTCCAAGCCTATTACAACAAACATTTAGGGCATTTTATTGACTTAATGTAACAAAAGAATATATGGCACAACTGTAATATCACAATTAAACATAGCTTTTGTTGTGTTACCTTGCATTTTAGTGGTTAATTGTACTTATACATTATGGAATACAGCAATTGTTTGTAATGAAGTAATAAATGTAAGCATTTATTTCATTTTATTATTTATTTGTCCATAATTCCAAGAAACTTGTTAGTTTACTTCCATTTCCCTTTTAAATAAGGGGTAACTGCTCCTGTGAAACACAATGCTCTTATATAATTACTTTTAGTATTCAGCCAAACACGTAAACTGATTTTTCATTCCGTAGAATTCTGACATTTCATAAGTGTTGCTACTAAAAAAATTCTCCTCAGTTTGAGGGTAATAAAAAATAAATGCTACGTCTTTTTTATGTTTTACATACAAAAATGTAAATCTAAATATTTACTTACTCTAGTGACCAAATACAAAAATAGCAAATATTACAATATATTGAATTAACTTTAATTACTTTATTTTATTCTTTAGCTGGCATCACTGCCTACTAATTTCAGGTTTAATAAACCTTATTAAAAATAAAATTTTAGCTGTCACGTCGCATCTTTCACATTGATTAATTTTCATTCGACTTCTTTGAATGCTCGAATGCACTCATGTGTTCTCGGTGTTTGCTGCTATTTGTTTATTATTATCTTGTTATATTTGTTAAGTTTCTGTTATTCTGTTAATTTTTTCTTGTTGACTTTGTGTTGTGATCGTTTGTTGATCTTTATAAATGTTATGGAGCTACAACCCGGCCCTTCTCCGGAAGCAGCCTCATCTGACAGAGCACAAGACTCAGACTTTCTTCTCCCAGAATGAAGCGTCCTCGTGGTGCTTTTACGCCCAACGATCACACACGAAACCGAGATCATAATTCTAAATATATACAAATATAATATAGAAAATTGGCAGCAAACAACCGATTGTAGTGCAACAGAATGTGCTAAAAGGACTTCTGAGATGACTGGCATGGATCTGTCAAGTGTCTATAAAATTACCAAAGAATATAAAGACAAAAGAGTTTCTAAAGCCGAAAAAGAGTGGACCTCAACTATCTTTCATACAAAAATTTGACAAATTTACTTTCGCTGTAATTCGACGGAAAGCTTTCACGCGTTTTTCTACAGGAACGAGATTCCGACTATTGAAAAGGTAAAATTATTGCGAATTCTTTAACCCCTCGTTGCTGACATCCCCCATTGTTTTAAAACTGTACTTTAACCTATGTTGCCTGTCTACATTTTAACTATAATGTAAATGCTTATTTCAGATTCACCAAGAGATAGCTGGTGATCCAGATATGCCTGTTATATCGAAATCAACATTAAGACAAGTATTGAAGCATTTAAATTTTAAATACGCAAGTCGCAAACGTCGAAGTGCGCTAACAGATCGCAAGGAGATAGTACTATGGCGTCAAAAATACTTGCACCAAATTAAACAATATAGAAGAGAAGGCAGGTTTAATATTACCAGAATGAAACGTGGGTATACAAAGGCAAGTGTTGAATAATGTGGCAATTAACTTTTTTTAACCTATTTTACTTCAAAGTATTAGTCGGCAATCAAATTCTGTACTTATGTAACACTTAAATTAACTTTGTTAATAAATTTTTGTTGCCAAAATGAATAAATAAATAAAGAAATCCATATTTTTCAATTTATATGCATAAATAACTGTTCTCATGTATAAGTGAAATATTAAATATATTTTTATTTTCAGGACATACCGTCAATAAAGTGGTGTGATACCAACATTCAATCTTCACAACAAGCTTTCCTCGATGGCTTGACAACAGGGCTTAAGGCACCTACAGGCAAAGGGAGGCGACTTATAGTTAGCCATATAGGAAGTGAAGAAGGATTTTTGGAAGATGGCTTTTGAGGCAAAAAAAGGCTTGGCAGATTACCACAAGGAGATGACTGGGGAAGTATTTGAGGAGTGGTTCACAAAAATACTTCCAAAATTAAAACCAAACTCGGTAGTAGTACCTATCATTCGAGGAAGGTCGAAAAAGTACCAACAAGTGCATGGAGAAAAGGCGATATCCAAGCGTTCGAAAAATTTAAATTTTGATGAAAAAATGCTAAAAGTTAATTTATTGGAAATTGTGGGTCAGGAGAAATAGAAATACCAACAGTGTATTGTAGACGAGATGGCCGCAGCACAAGGCATTACTGTGCTTAGACTGCCCCCATATCATTGTGAAGCGCTCAACCCTATTGAATTGGTGTGGGCTCAAGCGAAGGGGCATGCCCAAGACACAAAAGAAGTTTTAAAATGGGGGAAGTTAAAAACTATTACCGGAAAGTATAAGTAATGTTACTCCTGATAAATGCTACGAGTGTATCAACCATACAATCAAAGAAGATAAGATGTGCACTCTCGACGATTTGATTGACACAATCGCATACTTTAATAATTCATGTTAGCAATGATGATGATGATGATAGTGATATAAGTATTAATGATGATTAAAGATTTTAGTAAAAATATGTTATCTTTACTTGTGAGTTTTTTACTGTTTGTGATGAAAAGGGACGTAATTATCACTCGCCGTAAAACCACTTTTAATGTGGAGCACTGCACTTAATAAAATGGATACATCCACTAACAAATAAAATGTATGTATAGACTCAGATGTTCAGAGTCGTATTGAAATTGAAAAATGTGCCCGGCAAAAAAAGTTTGTAATCTCTGACATGTCAAAAAATAATAGCTGTCAAAATTCTACGGATTGAAAAATCAGATTTTACATATTACTTAAATCGTATATTACGTATCGTAAAATCTTTTTTTTTTTTAATTATATTGATTGAAATATGACAGATAAAAAAAGAAGTTAAAACGGAAATGATTTTGTTACCACTAAGCAACCATGCCATAGTTTTAAAATTATTAATTCATTCATTATTTTGTGAATAGACTGGACAATCCAATGTTGTCAGAAGGAGGTATCATTTCTTTTATTAATATAGGTACAATAGAATTTTGATTACTTACTTATTTTGACTTGGAACTTTTTGATGTCTCTCATAGTAAGGGCAGTAGCACTTCCAGGTTTTAAGACACTATAATTATCATCATCGTAGCCCTTCACAAGTTCACCACCTCTTACACTGTTACCGGTACGAAGCTACCATTTAAGAACGTAAACCTTTGTTTCCCATTCGTTGCCGGTTCTTCAAAGTATAAATCTGGCCACTTGACACCTCATCTTACTCGGTTACCAGTATAGAATACTAGAGGTTTCGACCTCTGCAAACTGGAGTGAGGTGAGGTACGACATAATTAAATTGCACTGATGTGCCGAAATAGAAAGTGTACAAATACGAAGACATGCATTGCGTAATCCCACATGATATTCAGTTGTAAACAAAGAGCATGTTAAATTATTATAATTGTATGTATTTTTAGTAATGAATATATAATATCCATATCTTCCTGGAGGTGTTGTAAGAAGCAGCAGAGGGAAACAAACCAAGAGATAGGTATTGTCTTCCTAATAACAACTAAAATTAAAACTATGGTTGCCAATCCGCTTGCCAAGTATGGCAACTGTGGCATATATACCCCTATGAGACAATCCATGGGAAAGTCCTATATTCAGCAGTGGACTAATAGTCTGTAACATATAGTCATTATTTTTTGTTACTTTTACAACTTTAATTTTAGTCGTCCAGGATAGCGAAGCATTTAGATTTTAATTCTTTATAACGAGACTAGTTTGTTATTCTGCAAAAATTATGTCGAGTAAAGTGACCAATAAATGTAATGTAATGATACACCTACGACAATAATAAATATAATAACTGCCTTCACAAGTAGGCTTTGAAGTGCGGGAAAAGATTACGCGCCGTATAAGCAATAGGCGCGCAATTCAAAATGGTACTCCGTCGCGTTATATTAAAGCACATTCATTGGAGAACGTACGTGCTAATAAAATATCAATTTAGAGCGTGGAGGTCGTAACAGGCTTCTGCCGGTTGCACCAGTCCTGTGTAGATTAAGATTGAACCCGGGATCCCTCGATTTGTAGGTCAACTAAGCCACGACTTTCACAAAGAGAATAAGACCACTTAAACACTAGTCTGTATTAATAAAGAACGGGATTAAAAATAGCGGATCATTGAGCCCGTACCGTCAACATGCACAGTACCAATGGCTAAAACCTGTTAACAGTATTTCGTTATATTATTCGGGTCTGCTATTTTTCTTTGATAAATGCAGGTGGCCAGAGGCCAAATTCCGCCCCGTCCTTGACAAATGTAAAGGAATCAAATAAAAAACTCAACACCCCTGGTGACGGAGAATCCTTCGCTGAGCATTCACGCCCAAGCTACGCTGCTCTTTCTGAGCGGGGGTGCTCAGGCTACCCCGCGTTTTCTGGTGGAGGGGGGGGGCAAGCGGAAGTCCTAAACGCTGTCCACTACCGTCTGGCGTAGTCGACCTTGCTCTTTTTAATCAAGACTCAGGTGTCCCCTCCGGCTGATAGCTCATATCTTTCCTACCCGGGGTACATATTAGAATACTGTGCCCCGGGCTGGAGTTTGCGTATAAATCAGTGAGTACATCTGTTTTCGAAGCCTCGGCAGTCTTGAAGGTACGAACCTGTCCATCCACCTGGCTGCGCGTAGACAGCGACGATCATCCCCGCGTCGACAGGTGCCTCTATAGGTCCCATAAAAGTAATTCCGAAATAGATCGACTATTCCACCAGGTCCAAATAGCTACAGATAACTTGACTGCTACAGCAGATCCCATCCGCAGAGATTGTGATCCTTGGCGATTTTAACGCCCACCACGGCGAATGACTCGGTTCACGTTTAACCGATCATGCGTGCGGGAGATCTGTTTATGCCTTTGGCTTGGCATATGGTCTTATACAGCTGGTTACTTCGCCTACGCAGATTCCAGATGTGGAGGATCATGCACCTTCCCCTATTGGACCTTCCACGGATATCAGGTTTCCGTCCTTGCCACTATACACTAACAGCACGGTTGCATTAGGCTGCCGCCCTGTTTGGAACTATAGGTCGGCCGATTGGGATAGAATGCAGTCTTTTTTTCTTCTTTCCAATTCCGCCTCCAGGTCCTTCAAAAGAGTCATCGACAAGGCAAAGTTAGAGCACAACGGCAGAATCGGCAGAAGCTAGTTCGCCTTCCTTCGGGAACCCGTGCATTCTGGTCTCTTGTCAAGGCTGTCCAAGAGAACTCCTATCAGCTATCTCTTCCATCTCGGCACATAGAAGACGACTCACTGGCCCATGTCGCAAAGGAGAAAGCCGATCTGTCAGGCTCTCTCTTTGCGTACAACTTGACTCTTGATGACGCGGGAACATACCGCGGTACGAGTACTCTATGCCGGATGTGCTATTTACACAGCACTCGGTTCGCAAATTACTCCTCTACGACCCATGGTCATGGTCCCCCGTGACCATGGGTGCTGGAAAGCGCCCGAAACGTCGGGAATTAAAAATAAAAGTAAAATAAACGCGATAAAATCCGTAAAAGTAGTTTTAATCAATGTGTAGTGTTCGCGTAAATATAAGAACTCATTAAGTCGAGTGGGCCTAACGGAGGAGTTCTTCCTATTGTACTGAAAACGTGTGCTCTGGAGTTGGCACTAGTTTTAACGCATCTTTTCCGGTACTCCTACTTCCAAAGCTTAGTCCCGAATTCATAGAAGACAGCTTTAGTCCACCCGATCTCAAAAAAGTGACCTGAGAAAACTTTAAAAATTCGAGTACTTTTAATTTAAAAAAAAGTTAAAAATTACTTCGACACCCTTATTTTGACCAATTCTGTAATATGATCAGCTCTTCCCATGAAACGACGTCGATTGCCGTGAACCGCATCAAAATCGGTTGATCCGTTGGAGAGATATCGCGAAAGAAATCTAAAAAGATTTTATTTTATCAAAATCACTTGAAAAACTTTCCGTGAAATCAATTTTTATGTAAAAGGCCTTTTTATTAAGCTGAAAAAATTGCGTTGATTGCCGTACATCACGTCAAAATCGGTTGATTGGTTTCTGAAATATTCAATTTTGAAAAAAAATAATAATAAAAAAACTTGTTTTTCCATGGTGGTGGAATTTCATATTGAAATTAGCAGAATTTTTTTCTTTATTCCGAACTATACCTTTATGCTGTTGGTGTTTCTTATTTTGAACATGTTGTTGCGTGTTATTTGACTAAACAAGTCCGCTCAATGTAGGTACTTATAGTCTTAGGTGTTTACAAAATAAATATAAATAATATGACATACATCATTTATTTATGTCAATAAAATACATAATAAATATTACAAAAATGAGCTTTTAGGCTTCATTAACCTTTAACTGGTGACGTGCGGTCTCACAGGCCGAGCGGTGCTAGCGAAACATCATATCACCCCCTTCCCCGCACTTCCCGTGTTTGAGCGCCTGAGTAGCTTCGAGTTTAGTATCGCCAGTGCACTAGAGGGGGATAGTTGCGTCGGCCAGGCTCAAATCGGTAAGTTAGATCGATTTAAAATTCTCGAGCGGCCTCTCAGACCTTATGTCACCACTTACGCAACTTTTTTGGAATCACACCATATTGATTTATTGCGGTTATTTTCAGATATTACTTACAATGAATAACCCTGAACCTCCTAGAAAAAAGCGTAGAGAGGTTGTTGATAAACATGCGGTGCCAAGTACAAGTAGAAAAGTCTTATCAGTCGTAAATTCTAATGTCGATCGCCAAATTGTAGAATGGTTAGCCCAAGAAGATTCAAGTGGATCGGAAGCTGAAGACGTTCCCGAAAATTATGCCCCGGAGCATAGCGACCACAACACGGAAACGGAAGCAAGTGCTTCTGAAGATGAACAACCAGTAATACATCAGGAAAACCAGCTTTCAGAAAGTGACAGTGACGAACCTTTGTCAAGATTATCTAGATGTTTCTATGGAAAAAATCGGTTTAAATGGGCAAAAGATCCACCAAACAGAGCTGTGAGGACATGTCAACATAACATTATAGCAGGTGTGCCTGAGCTAAGGTTGAATGAACACTATGAAAAAGACCCTTTTTCTTTGTGGAAGAAAATTATAAGTTTAAATATCTTAGAAGAAATTTTGAAATGGACAAATGTGAAAATTGGTGAACTGAGATTAAAGTACATTAGAGATAATCGACCTGAGCTACAAGACATGGATATGGTCGAATTGCATGCATTTCTTGGTCTTCTTATGTATACAGCTGTGTTCAAGTCCAACCACGAAAATTGTGAGTACCTATTTGCCACTGATGGGACGGGAAGGGACATTTTCAGATGTGTAATGTCGCAGAAAAGGTTTCTGAATCTGTTACTGTGCTTACGGTTTGATAATGGGGCTGACCGAGATGAAAGAAGACAAAATGATAAGCTGGCTGCAATTTCAAACATATTCAGAATATTTGTAAATAACTGTCAAACCCTGTACAATATTGGAGAGTGTGCAACGATCGATGAAATGTTGATAGCATTTAGAGGTCGTTCTTTTTTTGTCATATATATTCCAAACAAACCAGCTAAATATGGTTTGAAAATGATGTGTATGTGCGATTCTAAGACTAACTATTTTTATAATGGCTATATTTATTGTGGAAAAGGATCTGATGGTGAAACTTTGACAAACGAAGAAAAGAAGTTTCTAGTTCCGTCACAAGCAGTGATTCGCTTGACGAAACCCATTCACAACAGTAATCGCAATGTAACGTTTGACAATTACTTTACATCGATTGAATTGGTAGATGCGCTAAAGAAACGAGGCCTGACGTGTGTAGGTACTTTAAAAAAGAATAAAAGAGAACTTCCCAAGGATTTCCAGCCATCTAAAACAAGAGATGTGGGATCTACACTTTATGGATTTACTAATAATATGACTCTTATATCTCACGTTCCAAAGAAAGGAAAAGCTGTGTGTTTAATTTCTTCAATGCATCATTGTGAAGCAATTGACGAGAAGACAGGAAAACCTGAAATTATAGCTTATTACAACTCCACAAAAGGAGGAGTTGACGAAATAGACAAGAAATGCTCCATTTACACCTGCAGTCGACGATCGCGAAGGTGGCCCATGGTACTTTTTTATCGAATGTTAGACATAAGTACAGTGAATGCCCATGTTCTTTATCAAGCTGATGGTGCCAATACCATTGATCGGGGACAGTTCATCAAGATTTTGGCGAGAAACACGGTTTTACAACACATGAAGCGCAGAGTTTATAATACTCATATTCCACGTGATATAAAAATCAACTTAGTGCGTATTCTGGGTTCTGATTTACCACCTGAACCACAAAATCCTGAAAACAGACTGAAAACACGGAAAACCTGTGCTAGTTGTCCTCCTAAATTGAACCGTAAATCGAATTACCAATGTATGTCATGCGAAAAATATGTGTGTTTACAGTGTGCGAAGCAATTATGCCCTAACTGTCAATAAAAATACTAAAGTTTGACAGTTGTCATTTTTGATACATCGACATTTGTGATAAGAGTTTAATTTTTTTTAAGTTGATTAGTGTTTGAACTTTGATAATATATACATATATGTTATGATTATGTTGATTTTTATTATTTTATAAGCAATTGTTGATCTTGAGCCTAGTTTTTCGATTATAGAGACCAAAAACTTTGTAACTACCAGTACATAATTAAAAATTTTATTTAGACTACATGAAGTTGTTTTAATTTTTACTTTAGTATATAATTTAATACAAAATATACATTAGAATAACCTACCATATTTAATATATGTATTATAGACCAGATATAGCAGCGGCCTGTCAGGCCGCTCGTCACCAGTTATGTTACAAAAAAATCAAGTCACCAGTTAAAGGTTAAAATACAAAAAAATATTTATCTATTTTATTACTTCATTATACGATTTACTGTAACATAGGTCAGATTAGTGATATTAAAGAAAATAATTTTACACACATTGCAAGGGTTTTTATAACTAAAGAATAGTGTATATAATTAAACAACAAAATAAAACAGGTGATAATATAAAATGTCTATACATAAAGACTACAATATAAAATTCCTGATTCCTTACATATCTTAGTCTTATGGCTTAAAGCTTAATGTCTTGTCGCATAATATTAGTATTATTATTTCGGTAGGACGTAATTTGTTATTATTTCGACTGACATGTTAAGCCGGGTATCGATTATGCGCTCCAAGAGGGCGAACATTGGCGCGCATTCAAGCCGCGTGAAATGGATACCGCCTTGGAACGCGCGCCAAATTGTTCTTTAGAACGCTCAAACGTGGAACAGACTGTTCCATCTGCTGTCGGTTTTTTATCGCGTATCAATATAGTTAGTTTTGACGCGCTCGCCGGTATGGACGGTTGTTTAAATCATCCTTTGCGTTTCAAGCTACGGATAACCAAAGTTGTCGTAAATTGATAAAGTAATATGGTTGAAAAGAACTGCTACGGAATAGCAAAAGTCGTTTTTATCATAATAAAGCGCTCAGAGAAGATGCATGGAGAGAATCCATGATGAAGGGTCAAACACTGGAACAGATACCGCGCGCGCCAGGCGCGCTTATTTGATATACTGAGAACATTTGGAACGCATTCCGCGGAACGCACTGGTCAGCGCGGTCATTCATGGCGCGCGCTCCAGAAGCACGTAATTGATACGCGGCTTTACAGTCTATTTTCTGTGATGTAATTGCTGTAAGCCAGTTGGCTTTTACGGCTTTATTGGACTCAAGCCTTTTCAAACTGCGAGTTTTGAACACGTATTATATATAATTTTTACCGACACCACACAAATCTACCATGACTGTTTAGTGTACAACACAATTTGGAGCTATTTCTACATTTTGAAAATTCTCTACAATATTTTATACTAAAATTATTTAAATTTGAACTAAGCAAGGTGAAGCATAATATTTAGAAAATCGAAATCAAAATAGAAAATCTGTGTGAAAACTGCCAAACCTGACTTTGTGTATTGGCGAGCGGTGTGGTTAGCACTCGATAATTTTGATTACTAAAAAAAACATAAAATGTCAATGCAGCTATGAAACTTTTGGTTATCTCGCATCGTCGTGATTTTAAATTTGTTTATGTTTTATTATTAACCAAATCCTTGAATAAAAATATCTATGCACTCCTGAAAGATTATTTATATTTTTTATGTTATTTTGCAGACGTTGTATAATATAGTAAAAATCAAAATGTTAACAAAATCTGATACACTAAATAACAAAGTGTAGCAATAGCATGAATATTATTATTGCATGGTTCTTTCCATGAATATGCAGATAAAAGGCTAACTCCATACCATTCTAATTACACTACCAACATCATCACAAGTAAATCAACTGTTACAAAAAACCTGTGTCGGTTTGACGTTTTAATCTTTCAGGCGCGGAAGACAATCTCTCGTGACTTTATTGATATGAGAACATTACCTTGAAATGAGGTTTGTTAGTTGGAAACCTGCTCAAATTAGTGAATACACAAAATATTACATTAAACACACAGAAATAAATACTGAACATTCTGATACAGTATTTTGTTGTAGAGAACATCTTTTATTATAAATTTGACATGTAAAAAAGTATGGAGCTATTTCAGTATGAAGCAGTGTGAGCTAATCAGTAACAACAATAAATTATTATTTAGATAAATACTTTGAGTCAAACTCTAAGTTACATATAGAATTACTCGCATTTACCAATTAAGCCAATATTACTAGTTGTGTACCTATTTGCGTGTGAGTATATCCATAATGACATTTTTATTTATGGCTTCAAATGGGTTTACGGCAGCATAATTAATTAGGTATCATCATTTTTTAAATCAATAAATAATCTGATAGTGTATCCGGACGTTTCACATATTATGTCTTTTATTCCCTTTCTTACTTAAAGACTATGACATGTTTTTTAAGTTCAGAACACTTCGTTGTACATTTGATACAAAGTAAATGCAAGAAAAGAATAAAATTTGACACGTATAAAGTTAATTACTTATTATTGTTTTGTGTACGTACATATACCAATTAGGTTCATTCATGTGAGTCAAGTTTTGGCTTGATTTTCTATTATTCTTTGCCATTTGTCATGTTGCCATTCTGTAAATAAATAAAAACTTATTAATCTGTTCACAAAATTAATAAAACATGTTCAACAAGTTCATTTTATAAAAACATATATCAACGCTCCGGGAAGTCTGCAGTTTGTGATCATATCCTAGACGGCCCCAACCATTACATCAGATTTGATAGACCACAAATCCTCGCAAAAGAACACCGATTCCTACCAAGGATGATACGTGAGGCTATTGAAATTAAAAAACATCCTAATTTCAATAGAGAAGGAGGCTGGACACTACCACCTGCTTGGGACCCTATAATCACTATGAATTTTCTATGGGCGTTGCATATCAGTTCACACCTTACCATAGGCAAATAATACCTACCTTTTCGTTCCAATACTCTTTTTACTGCGCCAAAAGAGCGGTCGTTTGGTACAAATGGATGCCTTCTGACTGGGATGCGATGGAATTTCTTTTATGCAAAACTATAATAAACACAGCGAAATAGAATTCCTTTCGGTCCAGTAACTATTGACAGTTCAATGAAGTTTACAGTAAAGTTTTGAACAGAAGTAAGTTTCTTGACTTATTCCACTCCGTAAATTTACGAAAAAATTGAGCGCCTATTTAGACTGTCAAATGAACTCACTTATTCCTTTTCTTGAAAGATCTCTCTAAAATGAATCGAACTACATAGAAATAGCCATATCGGAAAAATGCTGACTTATTTCCCTTTGGTAATTAACTGATTCAAATTGAGGACATTGCGCGGGCTGGGAATATTTCGAATTTTGGAGTATTTTTCCTCAAAACAAAGATGTTTTATAGGTACAGATACCGTGTTGCTAACACATCGCACCGTTCACAGTGACGCCAGTCTTTGATTCATGTGTGCGTGAGTACCACGTGACGCGCATATCTTACGTACCATGCCTGCATTAGTGTGCGTGACTTCGGTAATAATAGTGCGAATCGATTGCCCAAAAATTTGGGAGATTTTATATTTCATTCATATTAACATACCTGAGTGTAAAATATGTGTTCGAGGCGTGTGCATTTGTGTACGTATGTGAATGGGGATATACACACACAAGGGATATGGGTGGTTATGTGTGTTTTATGTAGGTCTGTACGAAAATCGCACTAAAATAGTGAAAATAAGTAATAAAAACTAGATATAATTAATGTAGCAGTTAAAAATAAATCAAAAATCAGATTAGATATTTATGTATCTAACATATATTGAACTAATCTATTATTATTGAATATATATAGAGTACTACACTTTCGTACCTTAAAACCCAAAATATTGACGCGAAGACATTAATTATTTTTAATCTTAAGTAAAATGACAAAATTTTTTAATCTTAAGTAAAATACAAAAGTAAGTTTGGTTAAGTGTAAACTTCGGCCAAGAGATAGCAAATGTTTATTTTTTTTTAAATTTCATATATCGATACAGTTTCATGACTAGATCAAATCATTGCGTAAAATCAATTAAATCCTGCCACTGGAAGACAATAAAAGATTGTGTGTTTAAAGGCTACATTTTGTACTGTAAAACCTGTAAATAAATAAAAAAATATATAAAATCAATGTTGATTGTGTATAAGTGCCCTTGACATGAAAGTGAAGTGAACATTATATTGTAATTATATAATAAACAATAATATAACATAATTATATAACAAATAATAATATAACATAATTATTATAATAATATAATTTAATCACACAACTAAAGCCCTCATTAGTAATGTAACGGTAAAAGAATTTTCAAAATCAGTCAAGTAATTTTTGAGATAAACCAAATAAAACATATTCATAGAAAGTAGTGCCATATAATAAAATACATCCTACATTAGACATCTTTAATTATACATAATATTCTAGTGGTAAAAGAATTTTCAAAATCGGTCAAGAACTGTACGAGTTTAGCTAAAAAACATATTCCTTGATGGTAGTGCCCTCTATATTAAAATACATCCTACATTTCAAAATCATAATAGCATTCTAATGGTGAAATAATTTTTTAAATAGGTCAAGTAGTTTTTGAGCACCTTCAGCTTAGCCAACCGCAAACACAGTAAAATCATAACCATCCTTTTTCGTTTGTAGTCGGATAAACAACCGGTTCACAACGGTTGCGTATCGGCTGCTTTGGATAAATATCCGTTGTCAACAGTTGCTTTACATCTATCAATGACATTAAAATAGGGAAAAACATTTCATACAGTAGGCAACACTCGAATATTATTGCGCAGTATTATTACTTGTATTGACATTCAGCTTTCGTATTATTTTATCAAGAAATACACCAGAAAATTGTATATTTACTTATGAAAAGTGATGTTCTTATCTTTTTCTTTTTTCCAGGAGTAATTTTTACATGATTTCACAGCACAAACAGTCATTTTCCGAAATTAAAAACACTGGTGCGTGATGTATGTTCGCAGTGAACGTCGCTGGCGTAATGGCGGAACGATCGAACGAATACTCCAATATTGGCGCCTTTTAAATGGAAGCGTTTTAGGCGCGCGTACACGGTATCTGTACCTATAAAACATCTTTGCCTCAAAAATATAAAAGCGTCCGAAGATGTGCCCTAATACTACTAACATTCTTTGGTCATTACACACATGTGTGCGGATCGTCTGAAATCGCATTAAAACATCTTTGTTAAAACTTCTTTTTTCATTAATAAAGTTTATAAATCGTTAACTTGGAATTACGGTTTAATTAAGACCTACATAATTATTGCTTGCGGCCCTCGACACCATGACTGGAACGGGTTTGTGGCCCCCATAAAGAAAAGGTTGAGTATGGCGGGTCTACAGCTATTTTTGTTAATGTATTTGTGATTGGGTTATATGTATGGCTTTATTATGTTATTTAATTAATAATTCCCTAGACGACATAGCTCGATCATATTGATTTAATGTCGTAAAACATGATTGTTAAGATTCGATTTGTCTGATGACAAATCGAATCTTAAGAATTCGAATATTTAGAATCTATGACAGATTTTCGTAATCATCCAAAGGTTTATGTTCGATTTATTGTTTTAAATAAATGTTTGCAGCTTTGCGACTTTTACCTACTGGCAAACACACTTAGTTTTATATGAATAAATCGAATACCTAAAACTTAGCTTCGAAGCGTGATGAAATTGTGCAAATGTTTCAATACTGGTACAATTCAATGAAATCAAAACATCCTGCGTCAAATCGAATACGACCAGTTTAGACCGGTTACCCAATGGATTACTGGGCGTACGGTTAGTCTATATTATCCGTAGCTGAAACTAAAATAGTGATAACGTCACAGGAATAATATTAAATATAATGTTACCTCTTCAAGCTGTGCGAGTTGATAATGCCGTTTCCTGAGCTCTGAAAGACGCATCCTCTCGGCTTCTAATGCGGTCTCCAGTTCGAGAGTGCGAACTTTGCTTTCCATCTCTAAGCGCCTCGTCGCCGTTAGTGTCAAAGTAGAAGTGTCAAGGGCCTCTGTGAATTTAATTTATATTTAAATATACTGTTACGACAGTCACTAGCGTGTTAAATCACGTTGTGCGAAAATGTTCCCAAGTTTGGCATTCCAATGAAATTCACAACTAAATAGTGTTATCTGAGTCGCGCGCGAGGTCCGCGGCGTGGCGCGCGGCCGCCAGCACGGCGGCGGCGGCCACGTGGCGCGAGTGTTACCTGCGTCGCGCGCGAGGTCCGCGGCGTGGCGCGCGGTCGCCAGCACGGCACCGGCGGCGGCGGCCACGTGGCGCGGGCGTTAGCTGTGTGCGAGTGTTACCTGTGTCGCGCGCGAAGTCCGCGGCGTGGCGCGCGGCCGCAAGCACGGCGCCGGCGGTGGCGGCCACGGGGCGCGAGTGTTAGCTGAGTGCGAGTGTTACCTGTGTCGCGCGCGAGGTCCGCGGCGTGGCGCGCGGTCGCCAGCACGGCACCGGCGGCGGCGGCCACGTGGCGCGAGCGTTAGCTGTGTGCGAGTGTTACCGGCGTGGCGCGCGGCCGCAAGCACGGCGCCGGCGGCGGCGGCCACGGGGCGCGAGTGTTAGCTGAGTGCGAGTGTCACCTGACTCGCGCGCGAGGTCCGCGGCGTGGCGCCGGCGGCGGCGGCCACGGGGCGCGAGTGTTAGCTGTGTGCGAGTGTTACCTGTGTCGCGCGCGAGGTCCGCGGCGTGGCGCGCGGCCGCCAGCACAGCGCCGGCGGCGGCGGCCACGTGGCGCGAGTGTTGGCTGTGTGCGACTGTTACCTGTGTCGCGCGCGAGATCCGCGGCGTGGCGCGCGGCCGCCAGCACGGCCCCGGCGGCGGCGGCCACGTGGCGCGAGGCGGCGGCGAGGCGCGCCAGCGCGGGCGCGGCGGGCGGGGCGCGCGCGCGCGACGCCGCCACCAGCTGCGCCGTGCTGCCCGCCACCTCGTGCGCCGCCGCGCTCACGCCCTCCACGCGGCCCCGACCGTTGACCGTCTCGTCCGCGGACGAACTGCACACGCAACGCATACTATATACAATTGCCCGCAAACATATTGAGCATGCGCGAAAAACGATATTCCTAGACCACTTAACGTTTAGATACTGATTTCAAAAAGATTTTTTTATTTGTTTCTGCAAACACAACAATATACAGAAACAGTTTTATAGTAAGTTCGTACAAGATTCTACTTATTCCATAATTTACACAAATAATTTTTAAACCAAAAAAATATATTTAAATAGGCAAACTTAATGCATACTTGTGTAGTATACTATTTCTTCAAATTATTTACTCCAATTTATCTTTTTTTTTTTTTTAGATACTTTACCTCCATCGAATATTTTAAAATTATTTTATTGTCATTTAGTATTAGTAATAATTTTTCAATTGTTTAATAGCATCCCTTTAACCTCACTAATGACATAAACTAGACTTATAACTTATGAACAAATAATGTATGGTTACTGGTAATTCGACGTATTCCCGCCAAGGCGTGATAGTTGGGGTCATAACCTATCAAATGAACCATAAAATCCATTATGCAAATGTGGACCAATTTCGAGATACTTAGGTTTAATTATTTTTTTCAAAAATCCGAAAAGTCTGGTGTCAAAAATTTCTAAAAAATAACTTACAGCTGTATTATTTTCATTTTATTATTTTTACTTAATGAAAACCTGGATACTTGTTTATCAATACTACAGTGTGCAAAAAGTCTCATCATTTTCGAAGGAACGCTACTAAAAGTACAACTTTTTCCAAACAGAAGATAAGTAATTAAAAATAAAAATGATTTTGTGAAAAATAATTGTATGTGACCAATTGTGCAACTCATGTTAAAAACATCCCTACTTATCTAGCTACCCAACGAAGTATCAACTTAGCTTGTAACTTAAATAGTACAGAAAAATCTTGAAAAAAAGGGGCCAGATAGACAAGTTCCGAGTAGCAACGTTTGGGGTAATCCCAAACAATCGCTTCTCGGAACCTTATCAACAGCTGCGGGAATGCTCGTAAAAGATTGTGCGTTTGAACTTACGCTATTGTTTACATTTAGTGTGAAATTAGAAACAAGTTAAACAAGAAGAAACTGTTCCATCAGTCATCAGTATTACAGGCTTCGTACACACGCGCGCATATCCCTTCCTGTTACACTTAAAGAAGTTGAGTTTCAAAGTTTTGTGGCGGCGGAACCACCAAGACGCGGAGATCATGCAAGGCAATCATTTTCCAACGAGGAATACGCAGATATCTTTTATCTCTATGGATATTGTGACGGTGACGCTGCAGCTGTCGCCGTGAATACCTACAGCGCTACCCTAATCGCCGACCACCCCATGTCACAGAAGATGAAGAAATTTTGAGTAAATTTCAAGAAGATCCAACCACTTCCACGAACATAGTTGCTCGTCGCTTAGGTGTATCGCAGTGGAAGGTCTGGTCTACTGTGCATACTGCGGGGTTTTATACGTACCACTACACACCAGTGCATGTGATGGAAGAAGGAGATTAATATTGGTTAAAAATAAAACACAAATTCCTTTGTCTGCTTAGAACTCGACTACCTGACCTCATTCTAGAGCTAGATAAATAGGGATGTTTTTAACATGATTTTGCACAATTGATCACATACAATTATTTTTCACAAAATCATTTTTATTTTTAATTACTTATCTTCTGTTTGGAAAAAGTTGTAATTTTAGTAGCGTTACTTCGTCACCGTCACAATATCCATAGAGATAAAAGATATCTGCGTATTCCTCGTTGGAAAATGATTGCCTTGCATGATCTCCGCGTCTTGGTGGTTCCGCAGCCATAAAACTTTGAAACTCAACTTCTTTAAGTGTAACAGGGAGGGATATGCGCGCGTGTGTACGATGCCTGTAACACTGATGACTGATTGAACAGTTTCTTCTTGTTTAACTTGTTTCTAATTTCACACTAAATGTAAACAATTGCGTAAGTTCAAACGCACAATCTTTTACGAGCATTCCCGCAGCTGTTGATAAGGTTCCGAGAAGCGATTGTTTGGGATTACCCAAAACATTGCTACTCGGAACTTGTCTACCTGGCCCCTTTTTTTCAAGTTTTTTCTGTACTATTTAAGTTACAAGCTAAGTTGATACTTCGTTGGGTAGCTAGATAAGTAGGGATGTTTTTAACATGAGTTGCACAATTGGTCACATACAATTATTTTTCACAAAATCATTTTTATTTTTAATTATTTATCTTCTGTTTGGAAAAAGTTGTACTTTTAGTAGCGTTACTTCGAAAATGATGAGACTTTTTGCACACTGTAGTATTGATAAATAAGTATCCAGGTTTTCATTAAGTAAAAATAATAAATAGAAAATAATACAACTGTAAGTTTTTTTTTAGAAATTTTTGACACCAGACTTTGGGATTTTCGAAAAAAATAATTAAATCTAAATATCTCGAAATTGGTCCATATTTGCATAATGCATTTTATGGTTCATTTGATAGGTTATGACCCCAACTATCACGCCTTGGCGGGAATACGTCGAGTTACCAGTAACCCTGTATAATGTTATTTAATTTATATTAAACTAGCTTACCAGGCAGACGTTCTGTCCTTTTCGACGACAATTTGTCATGTCATATTAAAAATTCTTAAATTGGAAAAAAAATGTGGGAAATAAAACTATTATATCTTTCAAGTTGAACCAAACTGCACACGGTGTGCAAATTTGATTAAAATCGGCTAAGTAATTTAGGAGTTCATTCCGGACAAACAACGTGACATGTAATTTATATATATTAAATAATACGATAAATAATAATAAAATATATGATAATTGCATATAATATATAAATACTACTTAATAGTAATTATTAACAAGAATTTTAAAAATGGCAGCCATTTTTATCAGCAGTGACGGATTATCCTTAAGGCAAACTAGGCACGTGCACCACCGTATCAGCACCGTACGCGCCATACGCCCAATTTTAGAATGCGTTGCATGAAATCATATGAAACCACTCACATTGCAGCCGCACCGCACGCGCCGTATTTTATAAAATGCGGTAGGTATCTGAATATTGAAGGAGGCATGCTGGTTACGACATATATTACGGCGCGTTCGGTGTTCGGTGCGTGCTGATACTCAGTGTCGCCTAGTGCCAACTTAGTAGACTTTCCTCTAAAACTGATGGTTTCGACTACCCTTATAAAGGAGAAATATTGTTTACAGTGGCTCGTGTTTTTCTAGTGGTTCAGTAGAATAAGGTTTCAATTAGCGGCAAGATGATCACTCCATCATTAACCCACTTATAATACTCGACATATATTTTACTTAATTTCAGGACTATTTACTTTTACTGTGTAGGCAACAATAATTCGTCAGACAAGATATGCGTAATACGTTCCATCCACAAATTCAAATATCTGAAAAATCGTTCAACATCATCTAATAAGTCTTCATAATTAACGTGTAATTTTCTCCGTACAACTGCCTTTTTTAAATTAATATTGAGAATCCAGAATATTCTTTTTCTACGAATTTTATTTTCTTATTCTTCTGCTAATAAGCAGGCTATTACAAGATTTTTCCATAGCGATCTGAGCGATCAATGTCACTGTACCGTTTCACACCAGTGGTTAGAAAAAACTGCACAAGTTGTTGGCAGTTTTTTCTAACACTAAAGATTTGCGTTCGGCGCGAACGTGTTAATGTTCGAGGCCATCAGTAAATGTGGAGCGTACGGCGCGTACGGTGCTGATATGTGATTTCACCTTAATGCTTAGGCCACACACATCGGCGTAGAATTCCGGCGATAAAACTTCGCCTTCGGCCTTTGGCGAAGGTGCCTTACATAATACCAGCGTAAAATAAGCGTAATAAAAGCTAAAGTGTATGAATGAGTATAAAGAATAAAAATATTGTTACGAGCTTGAGGTTCGTGGCAATAAAATTTGGATAAATTACTTAAATTTTCTTTACACAAATTTAAACTTTAATTCACACACTGATTCACTTTATTCCGCTCCGAAGCTTCGCTTGTCTCGCCAAATTCAATACTTCCCTGATCGCGTATTGCAGCGCCTTTATATAGGGCTCTTCCACGAAAACATCCAGAATATTCCAGAATATTCAAGTAGTAGTTCATTTAGTAGTAGTTCGAGTTTGGGGCTTCCAGAAAGCTTAGTTCTTCAACCGATACTAGATGGCGCTGTCGGTTGAAAGATTAATGATGTCATTTTCTGGAAAGCTCTCTCTTCGCTCTGTTACCCGACACTAGATGGCGCCAGATTTTTAAGAGAAGATTGCCAGATGTCAACTTAGCCGCGCAACAATATGAATGGTAAAGAAAACTATGAAACTGATTTTTTTAAAAAAAATTTTAACGGGAAGTTAGTAATAATATGTTTGTATAATTAAAATAAGGGAACCGTTATCAAAATAAAACTTTAGATGTTTAAAATTTTTCCTTAAAATAAACAAAAATGTTACACCAACACTACTCTTCGGTATCAAGGGATTGTATTGGAACCACCTGGAACGAAGGACAAACATGAAAGTGACTTAATAAAAACGCGGTAATAAGTTCCAATGGTGAAAATAAGTGTGCCCACAATACGACATATTACCATAACAGACAAACAATACACCAAAGCAAACAAAGAAATGCAAGCCAAATGTACTTACACCAGCAGCTTGGCAGCAAACACGACAGCTTTCGCGGCTGATATGAGTCCTTCTGACCACTGCGGGTTCCTCCTATACATCTTCTGCCGTGTCTTAGGATCACCAAGTTCGTTCTGCAGTTTCCTCGCATCCTGGACTAGTACTTTTACTGCAGCCATAAGCGTAGTGCAAGCGTCCAAGATTTTCTCGTTTACTTCCAGTTTCACTCCTGAGTCAGCTGCTCGGCTGGCGGCCAGCATCTCCTAAAATATAAAAGGAACAATCATACGTCAACGACAACTACAATAACAAAGTCGCGGTAGTTCAGGGGCTAAGCCCTCGCTGCAATTTCACAGCACGTGAGCAACCCGGGTTCGATACCCGTCGGCATTAATGTAAATTTTAAGTGCGGTGAAGCGGTGAAGGAAAACATTGTGAGGAAACTTGCATGTCTGAGAAATAAGAAAAAAATATTTCGCGCCTGATATTTCCTTGTCCTAAAAAAACCCTTTCCGAAATGAGAGGACCCCTGTCCTCGTAGTGGTACGTATATTATTTAAAATTACATAAACTTGTGATTAAAACGCAATTTACGAAAATGGGAACTACCCTCACAGCTTCATGATAAAAGGTCTAATATAATAATTATATTATTTATATTTTGTATATTTTATGATATATTTACGATCGCAAGTTTAATTTATATATTATATGGTACATCTTTCTTTAATTTAAATTATTTTTTATATTATGAATACTCATTGAGATTTTTTAAGAATATCTGGGGGCTCGGCAGTGCCCCCGCCAAGTTGAGCAAAAAAGCGGCACGGCCATATTATACTTTTATCGAAGCAATTCAGGCCATTTTCGACCCTCTATAACTTCGTAGTGGATAAAACTAGAAGCCTGGATTCCAGTATCCAAGTAGGCATTGTGTAAACATGGTATATTTAAAATTTCATTAAATTTGAATCAGTAGTTTAAGAATTATAACTAGTCAAAATTTCTTAATTTTGTTACTCACTGACTGACCGATCATTAAAACTCTAAGCAATCTAATTTAATATAATATGTATTACTTGTGAGATACATTGTTTTCATGCGATGGCCAAGTCAATATATATATTTAAAACATAAAAGATTTTTAATATTGATATGGTCATTATAAAATGTTGTTAGGTTAGCTAATTACGTAATAACTTAAAACAGAAGGACCTTTAAGTAGGGACTGAATAAATTAACCGACTTGGTATTACATGGATCTCACAACTTTTTACGTTTTTGATGGCATTAAATTGACATTTTATATGTTTACTAAAATGTATAATTTAATATTTCCTATAGTTCATATTAATCGTGTAATAGAGAACATAATTTTAGGTATAAAATACAATTCACAACTTTAGACGTAGATTTATAACAGCCCCATTAAAATTTTGCCTCATAGAGTACCTCGATCTGCGCGGCAGCCTGTTCAATGGCGCTGTCCATGGAGGCGAGCTCGTCGTCCACACTGCGCGCCGCGGGCTCCGCGTCCGCCGCTGCGACGCGCGCCGCCGCCGCGCGCACGCTAGCGCGCGCACCCTCGCACGCACTCACCTCCAGCGCGCCTGTTCGCAGCGACTCCAGGCACTGCTTCGTCGCTGATAGCATCGCGCGGCACTCGTTGCTCAACTCTGCGCAATATATTAACCCGTGTTTGACCGTGGAAGGAAAAGGAAAGATCTCCCGCCGGGCAAAGGGATCAGACCGGGAAACGCCCAACGCTCCACGTGATAGTTCGGAGCTATTCTATATTTACACGCTGTACTTCAAAACTTTGATAGCGTGATTTAGGCGCTGCGCAAACGTAGACACTTTTGTGTCTTATGTGGAATACAAGCTTCCAGATAATATTTTATTTTCATATATTCAATATACCCCCTGCGCAGATGCACACTATTTGGGTTCTGTTGCTTCCATTTGACACATACATATTGCCAATCAAAAAGTGTTCGGTGTAGGTAACTGGAAACTAAAAGTCGTCAGTTTAAAACACAAGCAACATAAATAAAAATTGACGGCTACAACGTCTACGTCTTAGTATAATCAACAAAACAAGCAAAAGTACCGTTTCTTTATCAATTTCCACCATGAAACTGACGGAAAACAAGCAACAAATTGTTACCAGCGACCACAAGCAGCGACCGGCTACTGAGTCCGAATGCCGCTACGGTTTCCTGTGATTGTGTGCCGCTAGTAAAAAGTGGCGTTTGCGGAGCGCCTTCAGCTTCGGTTCGTTCCGCTAGTGGCGCGACGATAATGCCGTCACATGTATTCATACCAAGGTTTCCAACCATAATATAAAATAAAGACGGACCTATTGATAATCGTAAAAACATTTTTTATAATATAAAAGTAAAACTAGGTATGTATCATATAATTTCTGAGAGGGACTTAGAAATTGTCCACGGCGCTACTCCAATGCGTGAAAGCGGACTTTACGTGTCTTCAAAGTAGTTTATTTTATCATATATAAAAAACATTTAATAAATAAAAAAAAATTAAAGTAAATCAGCACCTAACAATTTCAGTGGTGCCGGCAGGAATCGAATTTGGGTTGCTCGCTTTGCTCTTTCCCGGCTAGTCGACGCAGTTACATACAAAATATATAGCAGGCATATTTTTACGTCTTGATGAGGCCCTATCTGACCACCAGATGGACAAACATTTAACATTTATGGATACTTCATATGCACTAGTAAACAGTACTTACTGTCAGAGAGTTCCAAATCCGTAGCAACACTGCAAATTTCCATGATATATCCGGAGAGTTGTGCTGTGTTGTGCGCAGCAAATATAGCTGATTTTGCTACTGTTTCTTCGTTACCGTTGATCTAAAACAGTAACAAAAAAATCGTTGAATTAAATGCGCCATTAAATTCCACACTCGTTTAAATGCAGATCTGTAGGCATTTAGACTGCAATTGTAAAATAATTTTTATTATTTACTTGCATCACCATATTTCTTTATTAAATAAAGGGATCATTTTAGGCAAAAAAAACTATAATATATTTATTAAATTAATTCAAATATATCGTAATGTCTCATAATAAAGGGACACTAACCTCTGTATTCCTTGTTAATTCGCCTAAGGCTTTTTCTGCTAACTCTGCTGCGAGGCGATTAGTGTCACGAAGGCTGGCTTGTTCAAACGCCTCTAGGGCTCTGTTTGTCACTTCAAGGGCTGTTTCACTGGCACATGTCACTAATCTTGAAGTTTCTGTTTGAAATTAAAATTTAACAATGAAATAATTTAAACTATAACAGGAATATGTAACTACCTTCAGGGGCATCACTAAAGTGGCTAGGTTATATTAAATATTATATGTTATAATTTTAGGTATTGCTGTCTTATTACGTGCGGTGCGCATTTTGGAATTTAAAAATATTTTTAGGTTAAATTAATTCGGCCTATTCGCTACCCTATAATAAAAAATGTCAGTTTTATCGTTTCTAAGACCATGCAGGGTCTCTAGGACACTATATTAAAATGATAAAATTTGTAATTCCGCATTTAGGTGGTGGTTTAGCTAATAGAAAAACTTTGAATCAGTAACAACATAAAGTAAATAGTTTCTTTGTAAGAAATTCTTATTACTTTACTTTGACATATTACTCCAACACAAATTTTTAAAAAGATTAGACTAAAACTGCCTCGTATAAATTTTTATCATCATAACTAACATCTTTTGTCATAACTTAATGGTTATGAAATTACTAGTAATTTTCTTTTCAGCCTTGTAGATAATATTTCTTGTTGTGGTAAGTGCCACATATAAACACATGTTACAGCAGTGGCTGTGCGACTCATAACTTTGAATTTTAGTCCGTTATGAGTTATGACACAGCACTGCTCCTTCAAAGCTGACAGTTTTACTCTTTCTAAGCTGCCAGTATTAAGACTCTCAAAAACTCAATACTGTAAAATTTTGAATTACTAAAATTAAAAATAGGTAAGTTAAAAATAGAGAAATACTCACGTCGCTTAATTTCCACTTGCGCTTCTTGCAGGTGGGCTTTTAAAGACGCTACATCTGCTTCTAACACTGTGTTTTGTTGCAATAAGTCCTGTAATTCACACTCAGCGGTTAGTCTCTCTGTTTCAGTGTGTTCTAGCCTAGCGTTTATCATCTACAGTGTAAGAATATTGCACAAAAGTAAAAGAAAGAAAAATACTTAACGTAACGGAGATTACGTATCAAAATTCCAGAACAGAAGATCGTAATCAGTCGAAATCCAGCACATGCAGCGTATTGCGAAGATGCAGAGCCAAACCGTAGCCGAAGTACAGAATAAAAATAATACATGCCATTAGAAAATATAGCCTCATGCAAACATTTAGAAGAATAGTTTATCTACAGAATAATTCAATAATAATGATGAGAAAGTCGATTGTAATCAATGATGAAAAGTATGCGTTATGACTACGTTATATCAAACAAAAAGTTATCAATATAATCTCAATTCATTTTATAACTTTTGTACTTCATTTTAAACAAAACTAAAATCACAGCTCTATCCGCTATCGACAAATATGTAGAGTATCAATAAATCGGTACTATGACAAACGCACACAAACAAAAAGTACCACCACCGCGTTTCATCATAAACGTCACAAAATAATAAGTTTGATAAATGTATCAATTATGCCCAGAAAACCAACAGTTATCCTTCACCAATATTGGCCTAACCTGATATTCCTTCTCTTTTACTGATAAAATGACATCCATCTCATCTTTTTCCTTAATTTTTAACTGTTCTAATTCAGCGAATTGGTCCATTAATTCATCTCTCTCTTTTATTACTTGTCCTAAAGTTGTATCTTTAGCATAAAGCAATTGTTTGTAACAAATATTTTGATCTTCAACCTTTTTCCGTTCTGTTTCTGAAATGTGTATGAAATCTTTCTTCTCTTTTTTTAACTGATCGATTTCATCATTCAACTTATTTTCAATTTCAATTTTTTCATTTTGCATGATATATAGGTTATTATTTAATATTTCTATGGTTTCCTCCTTTTGTTTTATTCGGTTTTCCAGTGCCTATTAAAATAAATCCTATATAGTAACTAAAACAATACACGCAAACCAAGACGCCACAATACACTGACCTGTTTATGATTTGTTAATTCGTTAATTATGCTCTCCTTTTCTGCTATAATCTCTTTCTTTTCAGAAGACAGTTTACTAATTTCATCGTTAAGTGTTTGCAAGTCATTATTCTTTAAATCTAAATTTGCTTTATTTTTAGAAATAATATGCTCATATTCATCTTTTAAATTTAACAGCTCATTTTTTCCTATCTCTAATTCGGCATTAGCCTCGTTTAGTTGTTCAGTTAGTCGCGATACTTCGACCGATAATTTGTTCACTTCTATATTGAGATCGATTACTTGTTTATCTTTTTCCGAGATGATTTCTTTAAAATTTTTAATAAGTTCTTCTTTAGAGTCGCTTACGTGTTGTAATTTTTCCTGCATTATTGATGTTTCAATTTCGTATTTATTTTGAAGTGTTTCAAATTGTTTTCTCCCTTTCTCGATACACAATAAATTCTCATCTAGCTTTGAACTTAATTCAGCTATTTGTTTATCTTTATTTGCAATAATTATTTTCAATTCAGAAATATTATTCATTAGGCTTTCTAGAGTTGCAGTCTGTGCCTGATGGCAATCTATTTTTTCAATAAGTAATTGTCGTAAATTTTCAACTTCCAAGTCCTTTTCCTTAATAGTTGCAGTTAAATTTTTTTCTAAAATAAACATCTCTTGATTTTTATCTTGCAACTCACTCAAAGCAGTATTCTTATTAAAGTCAACTTCTTTTATACTATTTTTGAGATGTGTTATTTCAAGGTCTTTTTCTTTTATAGCATTTTGACATTTAATTTTTTCATTGATTTCTTTTTCTAATTTAATTTTTATATTACTAACATCTGTCTCAAGCTGTTCAACAAGACCTTCGGTACACTTTTTACTTTGTAAACATTCATCTATTTTTTCCTGAAGACTTATGATTTCTGCAGACTGATTCATAAGCTTTTTATCATAATCCGCTTTTTTATTTTCAAATTCTACATTAATCTCCTCAAGTTTGATCAAGGTACTTTTAATTTCAGAATCTTTTTCAATAAACTTGATATGAAGATCTTGATTTACTAATACTTCTTGGTCTAACCTCTGTGTGGTTTAGAGCAATTAATACTGTTAATTCATGTTTAATTAACTACTTAAACTTACAGATTAGTAGCGAATGTTAATATAAAAATTAATAACCTCTTTTACGAATGCAATCAAGCCAAATTTGTTAACGAATTATGCATAGCTACAGATTAAACGTAAGTCTGCGAACATTGCAAATATTGTTAATACGTAACGTAAAGATATACATGCGAAAGTTTAGACTTGCAAACAAATTATACATCACTTTGGTAGTGACTAGAGACGACTTAAGTATGCTTGAAAGATATAATATCTGTGGAAGTGACGAACCGGGCATGTTGGTTGTGATAGTATTGGCAATTCACTGACGACGATTTCGCAATAGTTGGCTTATATTTGCTATTAATAAGGCGTATCATTAAATGAATAAATCTGAGCTGAAAATTCACACAAATTGGTCTAACTACTCATATCATCTCAACTCAGTTTTTTTACTTGAAATCGGTTATCAACTGAGCTAGGTAGTAGAAAAACTATATTATATATAATACTGGGTGACTTTTTTACCGCCTGAATAATAGAATAGTGTATTGTGTAATTGGAATAGAAGCTATCCTCGAAAGTAATAATATACTAACAAAATACATAAAAACAATTCATCCTACGGCATTTGCGTAAAAATAAAAAAATATGATATTATTTTAAGCGGCGTGGGGTAGGCTATAATATAATATATTATATAATATAGGCTGCTAATGAATGAAAGTTGTAAGCGCGAGCGAGACGCATGCACATTCATTTCGTTAGGCAGTCATCGTCGTTATGTGATGCCAGGCGGTCGATACATAGTTGTGCCAACATTTAGAATCAGGCGTATTCAAAAAGACCTAACTACAATGTTTGCCTTCGTAGTAGTAAGTGTTTATCGATATTCGATACGGCGCGGTGCCTTTTACGAATGCAGATTACTGACGTTCACCCGGAATGATGTTACGATACATTGACTAAAACGGCAGACAATGTCTAGCTCGATTACAGAAAGACTAGTTAAGTGCATTTTCTTTGCGACAAAATTTCTAGCCACAATGCAAAAACACTATTGAATGTTGCGGTATTAAAGACTCTTGAACTCTGAAAACATTTAATCGTGTTGTAACACATGGCACTTACATTACAGCATTATCAGCCGCATTATAGAACGTCAAAAGCTGATAAATAACTTAGATTTTTTTAAGATTATGCGTTTATTAATATGTAATATTTCTTATTTGACTGCGAGATACATTCATGCCGACCGAATGCCGCCAAATGTCAGGTCATAAGTTCTGTCAAAAACTTTTTATAAAATTAATGATACACTTTTTAATAATTATATAGAAATTATATACGAAATGAAAGGTAATATATTTTGAGTACATGCCCTTATTCGACCCGTAATCATCAATCGCAGCACGCACCACACGTCATATCTATTTCTGCCGCTGCTTTAGCCAAAGATGCTCGGAGAGATTTCAAATTCGGATGAGGTTTAGCGCAGACTTTCTCCTTCAAATGATGCCATATCTTATAATCCAGTGGGCTTAAATCTGGACAAGAAGAGGGCAAGTCTTCATGTCCGATAAAGTCAATTCCATGGGCGGTCAACCAGTTTTGCGTGCTTCGTATGTTAGCTGGTACAGAATCGTGTTAGAATATCCAATGTCTGTTTTTGAACATTGTTTGAGAAAGAGGTTCCACTATGTTTGTTAGGACGGTATTTAGGTACACCTCGGCACTGGTTTTTACATCTTTTTCACAAAAAAAAAATACCTCAGTTAGGCCTGAATATGAGACTCCAAGCCAAACTATGAGTGACGAAGGATAATGCGCGTTGTCGTTAATGATTGCCGCCTAAACGTTCACACTGAACTTGATGAGAATGTTCTTTGATTTTGGGTGGTTTTTGGAAACTCCACCAGTGCTCATTGTGCACGTTGTAAATTCCAACGCGGATAAATATCGACTCGTCGCACCGTCTAAGTTTTCACCAGACAAGACATAAAATCTCACCATTGCTAGGTATTCGACATTAGAGTATTCGTGTATGTTTACGATAACTATCAGCGGGCGGCCGATATACACGCGGAAACATAAACAATACGACATCACGCCGTAGCGGCGCAGTCTTGCGCATGCATCCCATCGAAAGACCAAGAACAATCAGGACAAAGAGGCCTACGGCGAGTATGTTATAAATTCTTTGTTTTATTGCCGCTAGTAAAGTAGGGTACGTATGATTGGAATTTTAAAATTTTTATTATTTTTTAGTATGGAAAATTTAATTCAAATTAGTAGTATTTATTGGTAGATCAATTTCACAATATGTAAATATAAAATAAAATGTAAAACATTAGTGCCATACGCTTCTACTCCGTTCACCTGTTACACTCTTTTTTTTCCAGACAGTAAAAAAAGTCATCCAGTTTATATACACTATTTTCTTCTCAGTGATATATTTAGCGCATGTCTAGATTACGGTGAGACATACACATTCAAGCAAACTTGTGCAAATGCAAATTAGCACTTTTTAGAATTCTTTGGAAAAATTTAAAGTATTTTGAAACTTGAACCAGTGTAGAACTTGCGCAATATTCTTCTAACATACGAGTACGTAACCATATACTTGTGCAAGTCTTCACTTGCGCATGTATGTTTTGATGTGTGTGTGAGATGTACCATAGGTGTGAAATTTCACAGATGTTAATAATATGATTTAATTCCAATTTCCATCATAAATATAGGAAAAAATAGCTCAAACCTAAATGCATAATTATATATTATATACTACCCACTAAATAATAAATGAACAATATATAATTGTAAATTATAACATGCACACAACAAAATTATTTGTAAAAGCATAAAGGACTAAGTAATGGAAAATAATTCAAAGCAAATAAATTTCGGGGTCGATAGTATGAATATTTGTATCAAAATTCTATATTCACTTATGTTTAAAATATAAGTTTTTATGAAAAAATAATTATAAAAATTTTTACGTCTTATTTTTATTTCAGTAAACTTGGAATAGAGATATAACAAAATTCAAGAAAAATCTCATCATGCTATATTGCAACCTTCAACTTAATTTGTTTGGAAATTAAAATATACTTTAAAATATTGTGTATGGAAACACATGTCCGTGGTAGAGCCACGCTACGCTGCAGCTATAATATGGCTGTAAAACGAATGGGTCGGCTCGACCAGGGTAGGACTACACTCTCACAGAATACCATCTTAAAATAGCAGCTTAATGCTGCTGTGTTTCGTGTGGTGAGTGTAAAGAATCGAAGACTCTTTATTGGAAACGAGGCATTTCATCTTAGTCCTCAGCGGTGACAACGAATATGCATTTTACTCTTAATTCGAGGATAAATGTAGATGTCTATGGGCCACAACATCCACTTACCAGGTGGTCTGTGTTCTCGTTTATCACCCTCATTCTATTAAAAAAACTTTAAAAACTATCTTGTGACCAAAGAGTAAATGTAAAAAAACGTAAGTAAAACCATGATTAGTTCTAACTAAATTAATAAATCGCGAGTCGCGACATAGAGAACTAAAACTCATTCACAAACCTACCCTATGTTGGTAAATGAAATAACTTACAATATGTTACTTGTGTACTGTAAATGACTTTCAATAAGAATTACACGTTATCAATTTTGAATAAAAAATTATTCTATTCTATTCTATTCTAACACGGTCTGTCATAAATATAACGAGCAAGAGGGTTGTGTGAACTCAGACGGACCGCTATCACAAATTTATAGTCTTTATATTATCTAGTTTCTATATTATCTAGTTTCTTACACAATATATATCGTTCAAATATCATATCATTTGACTGTCCTGTTTTAATGATTTGCCAATATTTTTAATATACATAATGATTTATTAACATATTGAAATGAGTATTTAAGTGTTGTAATATTTTAAAAAAAGCCGTGATATTATTTAATTAAGTTGCCTTATCTTAACTTTCATAATATGCGACCAATATGAATTCAATCTCTGCTGATATAAAAAAAAATCTAATCACGTGTGTCACGGCTTTTCTAAGAATTTTAAGCTATTACGAGGTCATTCATGGGAAGCCCGCCAACTCGGCACGGCGGCGCAGCACACTTTCGTGTTCAACTAAAATGTTTCATAAACCTGCGCCTAGCGGTGCGAAGGCGCGGAGCTAGTATGGTGAATATTCTTCACGTCTCTTGCTGTACATTCTCCGAGAAGAATATATGCGCAGAACTTATCAGCTTATCACCACTGTTGTAACTCCTTGCTCGCGACTCGCGACGCAATTAGCTATGAATACAATGTTGCCAAATTGCTCTTTTTGAATAAACAATCGATAGATTATAAAATTAAATACCTTGATATTACATTCTCATTTCGTAGACGGCAAAAATTTAAAATATAGTTTTATGTTTTAGTCAAAACATATTTTTTTATTCGTTTTTGCAAGTAGATTTCGATAATGAATTTTACCTTTTATTTTGTATTAAATAAAAAAGTGATGATGATCTTTACATTATGTTTTTTTTAAATATTAGTAATCCTATTAATTAACATTACTAATATTCCCTTTAACCCCTCCTGGTAAGCTGAAAATGCTTGTGTTAGGAGTGGTTCACGCCAGTAGTCGAATGGTGGATTCGAACCCACGACCTTTTGAGTTTGCGGTCCGCGCCCTGCCATTAGGCGACTGTCGCTTTTTATTATGTCTCATTATATTGTCGATAGAGTTGTATATTTTAAAAACGGTATAATTAAAATTCAAGTTCTCCATTTCTTAAACACATGTGCTGCATGCAGGTTAGTTTATTGTTAATTTTGTGCATAATCCATGCAAACGAGCTACAGGCTACGTCAGTTGCACTTCCCGACTATCCGGTCCGAAATCTTTATTGGACTCGGTTTTGAATAAGGGGGTCACAAAAATAAGTGATTTATGTAAAAAGAAACTTATTTTTCACACTCGCAACGATATCTGATATCCGTTTCGAGAGCGATATATCAGCGACCATGATGAATCCTCGTGAGATCGATAATGAATAATGTGAGCTATGTGGCAGAAAACGAGCTATGTGTATACAAACACAAGTTCGTTTTCTGTTTTGGATACAAAATATTTTAACCAAAAAAATCTCTTTTAATTATGTATAAATCAAGTATAATTATATATTATATTACAGTTATAAAAAATAGTTTTTACTTTAAAAAGTACTACAGTAGAACGTCAATTATTCGAACGTCGATTAACCGAACGATCGATTAACCGAACTGCTTCCTCGGTCCTCGGCACCTCATTGGGATACAACCACCTCCTCGCTTCTCCGCGCAGTGTCCCGTGTTGGCCTACGTTCCGTACCGATAAAATATAAATACGAGATTAGCAAACGATTAGAGAAAGATGAACCTGCAACCAAGTTATTTATGTACAAAGTGATTAAGCTGACAATTACGGATATAAAAACCAAAAGACAACCATATCCAATTTTATATCCAGCCATGATTTTACTAATGGGTCAACAAGTCGTAAAACTATGAAGCTCGCCACAAACACCGATCTAGATGACGCTGTTTACAAGTGATTTACACAAAATAAATCGCAAGGAGAACTTATCTCTGATGCCATCTCGTGAAAAGGCAAAACATTAAATGAAAAACGTTCAAGCAAGCACGGGCTGGTTGAAACGGTTTAAGTCAAGACATGGCATTCAAGAGCCTCAAATACAGGGAGGGAGCAAAACTGTCTGCTGGTTCTTCAGCAGCTGATTCTTTCAAAATCTTATTAAGCGACGTATTGAAACAAGAAAATTATGTTTTAGAAAACATTTAGTATCATTTAGTTTTATTACATTAAACACAATAACAATTCTGACGAAACTGAACTCAATTGGAAGGCTTTGCCAAGAAAAACTCTTGCCTCGCGTCGTGAATTAGCGACACCTGCTCTAAAGTAAATAATCGTATCACTGCTCTAGCTGTATTACAACTGTCATAAATTCAATTTATATTACATATTATAAATATGTTTTTATTAGTATATTGGTACATACAATTACATAGTTCGATTATCCGAACAAACCGGTTTTCCGAACACCTATGTCCCCCAATTGATTCGGATAATCGACGCTCTACTGTACTTAAAACCTGCATCTGAAACAGCAAAGAATAGAATAAAACGCTCCATTTGAATACCTTGTATATGGAGTCTATTTAGATTTATCTGTACACAAATCATTTTTGGATGCCCATATCGCACTTCGCTATTAAAGAACTAACAAAATCATACCGGTATTAGAAGTTTGTGAAAGCATAGATTCAATGTTATCTTTATTAGATATGGCATAATGCCTTCCTATAAAGATATCGGATCGAATTATGTGAAAACTGAGTTACGTGTTGCATATCCACCATTTTAAATTGAATATAAAACATGTTTCTGACCTCTTTCTCCTGTTGGTACTGCTGTTTTAATTCGGCTATTTCTTGTATGGCTGCTTCTTTTTCCCTTAACACTGTCTTTAACTCTTCCCCATTTCTCTGTTTTATAGCTAATAGTTCTTCTTTAGTCTTATTTAATACCGCATCTCTTTCTTCTTTTTCTTTTTGAACTTTCTCTAGATTTTCTTTGACTTCTTTCAATTCATTTGCCATTAGTAAAAACTTTTCTTGTTGTTCGGTTGTTGCAGTTTTATGTTCAATTTCCAATGTTTCCATAGAAGCTTTCAAATTTTGTAACTCTACCTCTTTTTGTCTGGAATTTTCCAATTCAGTTCGGAGATTGGAAATTTCACTTTTATATGCCTCTATTTCTTCACTGGACGATGCGCTTTGTTGAAGAAGTTCCACATCTCTAAGGTAGATGAAAATTATTATGGAAATGATTAAAAAAATCTCTTAAAAACTCATAAAAATTATTACATAATTGAATAAAATATTATTACTATTATTATTTACGGATATATACTATTATTAGATATATATTATTTACGGATATATACTATTATTGAATGAATGGATATATACTATTTTACGGATTATCGCGTTAAATTTATTAAACGCGATAAAATCCGTAAATAAGTTTTTTCAATGTGTGTGTTCGCGTAAATTTAAGAAATCATAATTATACATAATTTTATGAACATTTCGCTGTTTTTGTATCGTCTTTAATTAAAATATATAAAAATAGAAATGGTTTTTTTATCTTGCATTATGCATATTTTGGGAATACCAACGGTTTTAAGTGCATATTTTGGTCTTTATTAGTGCATATTTGCAAGGATATTTTGGCACTTTGTTATTGCATACAATCCGATGTCTAATAATAACCAATAATCAATTTTATTATCGCATCAGCGTCACTAAACGTCTTGCTTTCTCTAAAAACAAAATGTGAATCTATCCCACTCTAGAGCACTTTGAACCGTGTAAAAAGTTTGTTTGAAATTAAGTCCTTTTAGAAGTAAATATGCAATAATATTTTTTATGAAAAGATGAGTAACAAGTGTTGTAACTATTTTGAAATTTTAAGCCCACTTTCCACTATGGGATATAATATAATTTATATTACATCTCGAAATATATATTAATATCGCTCACCGTACTTTTAAATGGAACCGTTTCCACTGAGATATAATATATATTACATCCCAAACTATAAATATTTTTTCGATCGACCGAGCGATATTTTCATATTATACGAGTATTTCATCTCTGTACCCCGCACACCCTTCTGCACCTCCGCAACGTCCTCAGATCGTCCAATGACGAACGCATACTGGTTAAAAGATATATCTCACTGTGTGAAGGGCAATCGCGGGATATAATGTATATCTCGGGATATAATATATACTATATCCCATAGTGGAAAGCCAGTTTTTAATTAAATGGGCCATTTTTAGAACAACTTGCCTATGGCAGTATAGTACATTTTTTTTAAACACAAGACGTCAAAGTTTTTAACCATGGCTTAATTAAACTTTTTTTTGTAATAAACACAATATTATAGGATTTGTGACTGCAATTAATAGCATAGTTATTTAGGATTATATTTTGAAAAAACACTGAAAAATTTAGAAATTTGTGATCACGGTACCTAAATATGTGATCTGGGTGTTGATTTTCAACATTTTCAAAAGTATACCTATTATCATTTAACCAAGTAACATGAACTAGCTATAGTCCGGACGCGAAGAAGGAAGAATTTCGTACGTCGACATGTTATTACCTGTCTCTATCACTAACGCGTAAGTATAATGCGTCTCGCTCGCACTGATGCAATGACCGTCGTTCTCAGCGATTGTAAACCTTTTACCTGAGACTGTAAGGTTTGTTTGCACGTGGTATTTGGTTGGCCTTGAGACAGGACCAAAAATCCTTGGTTTGCTTGACATAATTAATAATTTTTATGTAACGAACAAACGACATTCCATCTTGGGATGGGTTAGTGATCGCTCAGTTTTCAAACACAGTTATCTCTGTTATCAATTCTTAGTTTGTTGTTGTTTGTTAATTTTAGTTATCTTGTTTTAATTATTAAGTGGTTTTGTTAAGTTTAATGTAGACAAAACTGTTGAGTCTTTTGTAATAAATGTGACAACAGAACTACATCGGAAAAAAATAATTCCGATACAGAGAAATCCGATTCTGATTTTTGAATTTTCCTTTTTTTAATTCTACCAAATTAGTAATTGTAATATGGACGACACACACGGTCAGTTCAACTGATCATTCCAACTGATGAGCTTAACACGTTCATTGCCAAAGCTAAAATTGGAGTTTTCTGCTGGTGGCCCAAAACATTTTTTTAATGAAATAACTCTTATGTACAGCAAAAACTATTTGCGGGTGTCTTTATGGTTTTAGTATATATATTTAATATTTTACATAATATAGTTATATATCACTCGACGTCGCGTGATGGGCCATGTGGAGTGTACATTTATCCTTAGGGGCCCCATCACGCAACGTCGAGTTTTGGGATACCTTAGCACTTTTGTGCAATTATGAATTCAAATGTAATAAAATTGAATATTTTTAGTATCAATAATTTTTATTTGAATTATATAACACAAAAAATAACAAAATATCAAAGAAACATGCAACATAAAAAAAGAGCCAGCCAGTACAATAAGTAAGTTGACCCAAAAGTTTACTAGCTAAGGTATATGAATTATAAAAATTATCCATATAGATAGAGTGTGTGTGTGAAGAATAAATTGGACGTTGGCCAATTTATTTTGCATCAATTTTTCAAAAATTTTTTCGGTGTGGCCCTTTCCGGCTGTTTCATCTTCTGTGCTGGCAAACACGTGGAAATTTAAAATCAAGCCATCCAGTTCTGTGAGCACGTATAGTTTGATGCCATACTTGTGGCGCTTTCATTTGATGTACTGTCGGAAACGCTTCAAGAATATCCGATTCGTGCAACAAAATACGTTTTGATTGCGCTCGCAAAGGTATCTCGTTTGATCGTTTCGTACCCCTAGAGGTTGATGATCACTCATTATAAATTTTGTTTTATTATAATTAGTATCACTTTATACTACAAAAAATACGTATTATTTGTTCACAACTAACTAAAAACAAACAAGAAAGTCGTCCGGCTCGAGAGGCGACGCTAAGCGAACTAACCTGGAACTATCCAATTACGTAGCACTAAAACTATCGCATGATTCGGATGGCCACGCCCACTTTACGATAGCTTAATCCTTTCTCTAGAGGCCCATAAAAAACACCGTTACGATAACTCTCCGGCCCAGGCAATACGCTTCATACAAAACTTGTCGGACATTTCACGCGACGTCGCGTGAAGGGCCAAATTGAAGAGTACTGGGAACACGCGACGTCGCGTGATTGGCAATTAACCCTAGATAGCTAACCTCCGTCGAATCGACGGGCAGTGAAAAGTAATATCGCTGTTTCTTTTTAACGACGCGTCAGAACGTCTTGGCTCTTTAAGTCAACTCAGTCGCCCGTAAGGCCGTTGTAGTGGCACACGCATCGAACAGGTAAGTGCCATATTTTTTAAGATACGTAACTTTTGCCCGTCGTTTCGACGGGTGGTTAGCTTTAGTGTTCACTTTTTTATTTCAGTGTACGTATATATTTTTGACGTAAGTTGTCTTTCTTTTTAGATTTTTACCATGTCGTCGCTAAATGAAGATAGCATAATAAATCTGCTAAACCAAGAGCTTAGTGACGATGTCATGGGTGATGGTTCTGCCAGTGAGACCGAAGATTTTGTGGTGGAAGATGATGTCCAAAGTGATGAAAATTATGAACCTTCGGATTCCGAAGAAAGACACGTAAGTCCATACAATGACATATCGTTAACCGTAGATCGAGTTATGTCAAGTAACTCAGATACTGCCCCTTCAGAAACCTCACAAAGCAGTATCATACAACTGCCTCAAGGGAACATACGTGGTAAAAACCGGTACGTCTGGTCTACAAGTAAAGGGAACACTTCAACTAGAACCTCGGCGAGGAACATCGTGCATACTTCAAGGGGACCTAGCCGTTCATGTAGAGGATTAACGAGTGAAATATCTTGCTTTGATATGTTTTTCACAAATGAAATTTACGAGGAGATCGTCAAATGGACGAACGTCGAAATAGCTGTGAAAAAATCCATGTATCAGACTGTGACCTCAACACAAAGCGATACAAATATTTTAGAGATAAAGGCGCTGGTGGGCCTCCTTATTTTGAGTGCTGCTCTAAAAGACAATCATTTAACTTCAGACGAGTTATTCAATTCGAACTATTGTGGATCTGCATACGTTGCTGTTATGAGCCGGGAAAGGTTCGATTTTCTCCTAAGATGTTTACGGTTTGATGACAGAAATCAGCGGCTGCAAAGATCCCAGAGCGATCTTTTTACACCCATTAGAATAATTTGGGATATGCTTATAACACAATGTAACAATAATTATGTTCCCGGGACTAATGTTACAGTAGATGAGCAATTACTGGGCTTTCGAGGCAGATGCAAATTTCGTATGTACATACCAAATAAACCTGCTAAGTATGGGATTAAAATTGAAATGATGTGCGATAGTGGGACCTATTACATGATAAATGCTAAACCATACTTGGGAAAAGGGACTAATACTGGAGGTTTGCCTTTAGGTGAATATTTCGTAAAAGAGTTGACGCACACAATTCGCGGTTCAAACAGGAATGTTACAACCGATAACTGGTTTAGAAAGAAAGAAAGAAAGAAAATAACTTTATTCGTTGCTACGCTAATACAAACACATAAAAAAAAAAACAAACAATTAACTCAACACAAAAAATAAACAATTAATAGTAAAAAGTATTTATAAAAAGTATTTAAATTTATGTTGGATTGCAGCAACGAAAAGGACCCGACTCAGCATTATGCTACAGCAAAGAGCCGCAGCGCTGTTATTCTGTCGGGACCACTAATCTAAAACATACGAGCAGCTGTCAGACAGATTTAATGCAAAAAAAAAACTAAAGATATTTTAAATGTATATGTTTATGTAATATAATATAAAGATAATATTCTGAAAAACGATAAATAATGAAAAATAAATAGATAAATATATTACTTTTAACTATGTTGGCAATAGTATATAATAGAATAATGAAAGGAATAATAATAATAAATTAAAAATATTTATACTATGTTATAGAGCTAATTCCTGGACAATGGTGTACATCATTGACCAATATGCGATTTTGTGTATTAAGTGTCTGCGCATGTGAACTATTAGTGGAAGCTGTGAAACAAGTGCTCTGATGGAGATGGATTCTCAAGATAAGCTGTTTGCATAGGCATCTTTGGATACCATCGCCAATTGTCTGCTGCCTGCTGGCTCAAGTTGCCATCAGAATCTCCCAAGGGCTGCACCATGTGACGCATCAACATGTTTTGAAGCAGTGAATTACGAAGGATAATTATACACAAAGACAAGGCTGTATGGCATAGTTCCTTTGCCTGCTCTCACGAGCGAATAACAAAAACAACAACAACAACTGCTTGTACATGTCATCTACAAAGAGAATAAGTCACTACGGTCATCTATTTCAATTTCAATTATAATATAATAGAAATTGAATTTCATTACGTACTTTATTCTTTAGAACATAGGGAACCATCAAAAATTAAAGTAAAATAATAATAACGCAAACCACCTACCTAGTGTATCAACAACCAGTCTTTGTATTGTTACTTTGTATTTTCTTTGTTATCTAGAAGGTACAATTTATATCGCATTTTGAAATTAACCTTGGATTGAATTTCACGAAAGGGGGTGGGAGATTATTCCAACACTTTGTTGCTAGGTAGCGAAAACTGCCGCGAAAAGCAGCCGTGACGTGTCCTGGAACAGTAAGTAAAAACTTAGCGCCACGAGTACAGTGAAAGTTATGTTCACTGGACCAGGTAAGCTTTTCATATAAATATTCGGGAGTTTTGTTTTTAATTACTCCAAATAGTAAAGTAGCAAAGTGCAATTTGAGCCTTGATGACATGTTAAGCAGTTTGCTATTTTCCAAATAAGGAGAAACATGTGCTCTCGGAGGGATATTAAAGCAAAAACGTGCACATGCATTTTGTACTCGCTGAAGGAGCTTCATTGTTTTCGCTAAGAGACAGGGTCCGTAGGCCGAAATGCAGTAATTTAGTTTAGACAAGATGAGAGTCTCACAAAGGGTTACTCTTAAATTCAAACTTAGGTAATCACGTATCTTGTAAAGTACCTTTAACCTATAAAAACAAGAACGCACCACATCTAAAACATAACTCTCAAATTGCAACATGCCGTCTATTTTAAGGCCAAGATTGCGAGCCTCTTCTACCTGCTGAATGATTTCTCCTTCCAATAATATTCTGGGTTGACTGTCAGTTATTTTCTTAATTTGGTATCCAGATCCTAATATCATAAATTTTGTTTTAGCTGGATTGAGAATAAGCGAGTTCACTTTAGACCACTGTGCAATGCGCTCCAAGTCCTGATTAATCCTATTTATACTATCGGAAACCTCTGAAGGATGGAATGACAGATATAGCTGAAGGTCGTCAGCATACATGTGATATTTACAGTTTTTAATCACATGAATCAAATCACTGCAGTATAAAATAAACAGGAGGGGCCCTAATATGGAGCCCTGTGGAACACCCCTAGTAACAGGTAGAGGGTGTGACTGAATAGTACCTGTACCATCCGTTTTGTGCAGCTCAACAATCTGATGTCGGCCACAGAGGTAACTGTGAAACCACTTAATTGTACTATTTTCGAAGCCATAATAAGACATTTTAGAAAGGAGCATGTTAATGCTAATACTGTCAAATGCCCTGGAGTAGTCAAGGAGAACAAGAACCGTCCCCCTACCTTGATCTCTAGAAGCTAGTATATTGTCCACAACATCAACAAGTGCTGTACAAGTACTACGGCCTTTGCGGAAACCTGACTGATATTGTGGCAGAATATTATGTCTTTCCAAATATGTATAGACCTGATTATATACAACTTTTTCCAGAACTTTAGATAGATAAGGCAAGAGGCTAATGGGTCTTAACTCCTTGACACTGCTTGGGTTGGCTTTCTTTGGGATAGGCCGCACTAATGCTGTTTTCCATTGACTGGGAAAGGTAGAGCTGGTGATTGATTTATTAATGATATTAGTGATGGTATCGAGGGTGTGAGGAAGAGATAGGGTTACCATGTCTCTACTCACACCATCAATACCCTGCGCATTAGATTTTATTGCCAAAATTGTCCTAGCTACTAGGTCGCTATTCACTGGTGATAGCATGAAAGTAGTGTCACTATATCTGTGAAACTCATAATATGTGAGTTCTGACATTGATTCTTTATTGTTCTCAGGGATATCCAAGAAAAAAGAATTGATGGTACAGGGATTGTCAAAGAAAGCAGGGAGGTCACCTGTGTCCTTGAAACTTGGAACTAGTTTCACACACACACAGTTTACATCAATTCATCTAGCAAAAAGCCTACAACTTGAGCCATATAAATTGACGATCATTGGAACACTTAGAGCAAATAAAAGAGAGATTCCTGAAGAATTAAAAAATAGCAGAACCAGACCAGTTAACTCTTCAATATTCTGTTACGACGGACCACTTACTTTGCTGTCCTTCAAGCCCAAGCCATCGAAAGTTATATATTTGTTATCGTCCTGCGACGAGGAGGGCACTGTAAATACATGCTCTAAAAAACCACATATGATAGAATTTTATAATTCCACTAAAGGAGGAGTAGATACTTTCGATCAGATGTGCTCTAATATGTCGAGCAGCCGAAAAACTAGTAGATGGCCAATGTCTATCTTCTACGGAATGATCAATATTGCTTCGATCAATAGCTACATTATACATTCTCACAATTTAGTAACGGCAGGACGAAAAATAGTTCCAAGGAGGGACTTTATGAAAACACTTCATTTTCAATTTGTAGAGCCTTGGCTAAAGGTCAGGCTGGCCAAAAGAACGATGCCAACCCAAGTAAAAGAAAAAATCAGGAGAGTTATTTCTTTGCAACTACCAACCACTAGTCAAGGCCTGCAGCCATCAGACCAAGTTTTTATTGATGAAGAAGAGTCATCAACTTCTTCAAGGGGAGAAAACCGCAAAAGAAAGACATGTGGCAAGTGTCACTACAAGAAAAAGCGGATGACTAAAAGTATTTGCGCAAACTGTAAGGTGGCTATATGTGGTGAACATAAAATTGATTTTTGTGTGACATGTGCCAAAGAGAAATAATTAATTTTATGTTATAATTACCTATTATGTTCCTAAGTGCCATGTGTAACAAAAAGACTGAATATTATATTATATTTTTGTTGATTTTGCATGTTAAAACTGTTAATTAGAAAAAAAATCCATTTTTTAATGCGTCTAAAAAAAGTTACTTTAGTTATAAAAGTAAATACGTAAGATCAATTCTCAAAACGTATTTTTATTGTCAATCCTATTAATCAACTTAAATGCACAACAACAGCTTGATTACGTTTACATTTCATGAAAAAAATAGTTTTTTAAATACCCGTCGTTTCGACGGATGGTTAGCTTAAATAGAGGACACCAGAAGGTTAGCTATCTAGGGTTAACGTGTTAAACTACGACTGTTGATATTTTATAAAATATCGGATTTTCGATACATCTATAAATAAATTTATATATAAAACTCCGATATTGAAATATTTAAATTTTAAAAATTATCAACAGTCCTAGTTTGAACTGATCAGTCGGAACGATCAGTTGAATTGACCGTGTGTGGCGATCACAACTCGATTTTTATAACTGTTATTATAATGATTTCTTATATTTACGCGAACATTACACATTGATTAAAATAAAGAAGGAGGCTGGGTACTACCACTGCTTGGGACTGGTAATTAATAGAATTAAAACTAAGCCCAAGTATACCGCTGCAAGACTTCAAGACACAGTAAGTTCATTCTGCGTAGTTCGGACCATAAACAATAATTAAAAAGCTGAAGGTACTTTGGGTTAACATTGACATTGAGACATCAGTCACCTCAGTCCCCCGTGACCATGGGTGCTGGTAGGCACCCGAAACGTCGGAAATTAAAAATAACTTAAAGTTAAACGCGATAAAATCCGTAAAAGTGGCTTTAATCAACTGTTTTTATACTAAAATCAAAATAAATAATTTATGTAATACCCATAATTTATTTAACACAATAGTAAATTTAATTTTTTCTCCTTCAATATTAATAAATATAAATAATAGTAATAAATATTTCATAAAAACTACACTTAACACAAAAATGTTTGTGACCACTGTCAGAAGGCAAAGAGGTCATTTATTTCATCGTAGTACGAAATTCTTCCTGCTCCGCGACTGGACTTTAACACTAGCTTACCGCCCCGTACCCGCTTGGCGTTGAGTTTCAGGACAACCTGTATATTACTAGACGGACTATAATCGTTTGAATTAGATTGGTCAACTTACTTCATTCTATCGTTTAGCTGTTGCTGTAGCATCGTTTTAGCATTTTCATGTTGCGCCGCGGCAGCGCGTAGACTGGAGGCCATTTTGTCAACTTCAGCTTTCTTAAACAATAAAATAATTTAGTGTATTATTTCAAATATACATAATATATATTATTAAACACATATATTTAAAAAATAAGCTGATGTTTCTTTGAACTGATGTTGTTATATTTCACGTAATTTAAGAAAATAAGGGAACGCACCTGTCTGATTAAAGTAATGTGCTCTTCCCGTAATTGTGTGTAGGCCCCTTTTAATTTTTGAAATTTCTCATCAATCACTTTAGCTTTTTCCTCCGTTTCTACTAATTTCTCTGTGAAAGCAAATAAATTAACATATTTACTGACAAATTATATGGATTACTAGGTTATCTGAAATAAATTATTATTAATAAATGTATACAGATTATTTAACCTCTCAAACGCCAAGCGTCCAAATTTGACCGCTACGATATTCCGTCAAAATTTAAGAGGTCAAATTTGACCACACCCACAGCACTTTAACCCATAAATACTTATGTTTAGAGGCTACTTTTCTATGAAGAAGTTTGGCATTATGGAATCAATATGAAATTTTCTATCTTCTAGTGGAAAAAAAACAGTTAGTCTATGGATATTAATTTATATTCTACGTTCATTACGTAGCCATTTTCATTTGGATGTTGTTGTGATGATTTTTGAATTTTTCTAGTGTTTTAGTATGGTGTTTTATTATAAAATTGTTATAAAAGTTTTTGTGTGAATATAATTTATATTTTTAAGTAAATAATTTCGAGTAATATATAGAAATAATTGTGATTTTCACGCTGCCGACATCCGCTTGTTTTTTTTTTTTTTTTGTTTTTGTTATCAAAATACAATAAAATCTTTTTGTAATGAAGTAAAACCTGACTTATGTTTAGACCACAGAATAGAGAATTTTGTATAGATTTTATAATGCCAAACTTTTTCATAGAAAAGTAGTCTCTAAATACATGTTTTAATGGTTTTAAGTGCTGTGGGTGGGTGCGGTCACATGCGACCGCTCGGAATTTGCCAGGCGCTTGCGACTGCATGGGAATTTTATGGGGATTGAAAGCTTAAAATCACCTACGTACGTTTAATTTCTGGCGTTTCAGCAGCTAAAGTATCGGCTTTTTCTTTCTCTTCCTCTAGTTCAGTCTGTAACAAAAGATTAAATCATTATGTATGACATAAAATGTTATTCTGATTAATTTATTTACCACTAATGAGTTTCCTTAAAATATTAAATAATGATATGAAGAAATTAAATATATTGAACATGGAAACCCTTCATATCCTTAAATCCATTTCAGTTTTATTTCGTTTATTATTTATATAAAAATTAATTCATCAGTATCAAAAACTCACCTTTGTAGCTTGAAGTTGAGTTTCAAGGCGTGTACAGTGTTCCCGCATCGAGCCTAACATTGTGTTACGCTCCTGCACAAGTTGCGATACTTCTGTTCTGTTTTAATGCAAACAATTTAGTATTGCAAACGCCTTAGAATAAAATCTAATTAAGCCATATGGCTATATAGTAGAACATTATTTAAATTAAGCCCTTTAGATAATTACACACATTATGGCATATATGACGACTATAGCACGCTTAGCAGATAGATTGTCGCTTCCGCAACGCCGCTTCTTGTCGCCTCGTTTATCAGCTAACTAAGGAATATCACGTGTTACTTTGAAACAATTAAAACGTCGTCTTAATACTCGTAGCACAGAATAAAACATAGAATAGAAGTTGCACTCCTTTAATGTTGACTACTTGCCGACGTTTAATAGCTTGTATTATTATTATTAATTAGAAAAATGGCGCGCGCAAGCTAAAGAAAACTGTATTGCTGCGCGCGTGTGTCCATATTACTTTATATCTATTCCCCTTTCAAAGTCACGGCGGACTTTCCGTGGTTACTAAAGGATTTCAATAAATAGTAAAAAAATACATTGGGAAATGTTAATTAAGTTGCTTAGGTGAAGTACCTATTCCGATTATGATCGACTGACCATATTTTCGCACCTGTGTGAGTTCTGCGATGCCCAACGCATGCAACTTGCAAGACCATTCGTCGGGAATCGCGATGTTTGGCTCGGAAGAAACAACAAAATATACTTATCTCAAATACGATTCCTAACAGAAATCTGATGGTAACTATTCTTAATTACTTAGTTAAAAATCTTGTTATTAAACAAAGTTTTAACTTCAGTATTTTGTGTTATTATAATTAAAAATATTTTAGTTACAAAAGACAAGTATAGATATGTAAGTAGTGTAAGTAACTTGGATAGTGAAGTAAATTTCAACTAAGTTTTGTAATAAAGTACGTAGGTATTACATCTGTAGATAAATTATTACTTTTTTGCTATAAGTACCTAAAAATTAAATAAATTCACCTTTCATAACTTCTTACTAAAAAAATCCTTCTGTAATTTAAAGAATGATATATCTGAAACTTTTTGTTGGTCATTTAGCATCTGTCCATGCAAAAGTTATTGTGGAACGACTTTTGGATATTTTAATTGATCAAATAGGTAATATACATAATATATATAATTTTTAAATGACATCAAAACAATTTCAGCTATTTTATCCTATAATTAAATATAATAAACACTAAACAAAACCTTTTTCAACATAGTATTTACAAAAAACTATTTACGTAAACAGCGTAACTTTAACATTCAATCGCCTACAACGCGCTAGTCCCGACTGCGTATGTTACCCTGGGTGTCTCGCGATTGTAGGTAATTATTGCACGCAGGTAGCAAAAGTGACAGGGGGATGCTCGTAGTAAATTTATTTTATTTTATTTATTTTATTTGTAATTAAATAACTTTAAAAGAAAATTAAACATTTTATCTCATCTCTTTTTTCACATTTAGAGAGATTTTTTTACAATTTTATATAGCTTTTCACTTTGAAGTATAACCAATTTGATAAAAAAAATATTTGTTCAATAATTGACGACAATATTGTTTTAATAATATAAATACAAAAAGTATCAAAAATTAAAAATGTACCAAAAACTTTACAATGTGAAACTTCACATATTTATTGCAAAGAAGTTTTTCAACAAATTATTAAAAAGAATAATTTCTTATTACTTGAAACTGGCAAAAGTACAACAGTACGGGTCCATTACCAAAGAAAAAAAAAGGGAGTAGAGTGTGTGTGTGTGGTAGTGTGGTGGTTTGTGAATAGGTTACCGCATTCGCTTGAGCTCGGTCTGCAGGTGGTCGATGAGGCGGTCGCGCTCCAGGACGGGGTCGGGCTGCGGCGAGGGCGTGGCGCGCCGCTCCACCGACTCTGCGCGCGACATCTGCGACATATGCGACGCCTTCGCCACGTCGCAACAACAGATCAACTTGCAATAGCCCTTCAACTAATATCTACTTTTTTAACTTATCACACAATCCTATTTGGTGGTAAGTGATGATGAAGCTCTACATGGTAAACCACACTGTCTTAGCGTAACAGCCTATTCACTCTTGCCTTGAAGACGCCGAAACTGTAATCGGACGGAAATACAGACGCCATCCAATTAATCCAATCCTTTTCTGTACGCATTACAAAAGACGAGAAGCAAAGTGTTTGGTTCTAATGCGTGGAATATCAACAACAAAAGGTTGGTTGTCTAATTGTGAAAACTGAGAGGAAGGAATTAAAACATGTAATTCTTGCGCACATTCTCCGAAATATATTCTATAGAATACAGAGAGGCTGGTTACTCTGCGTTTATGCTCAAGACAGATGAGACTGGTTAGTAAAGGACAGACACCACGAACAAAATATGTGCGATAGACGCTCAAAGTACGTTTTTATGGTACAGACTAAGTAAGTTTGAGTCAGCGGGCTTTAACGCGTGTTGCAAACAACCAAGTCACAGAGTATCTTCTGGTAATTTACGTAGTACATATCACTTCCATTTCACAAGGTGGTATTTTACATGTGATACGAGTCATACTATAATTTTATTGTGGTTGCAGCACGAATGGATCAGCACGATCGTGGATGGACTACGCTCTCACAGAATACTAGCAAAATAACAGCTCAATATTGTTGCGTTTTGAATGATGGGTGTAAAGAACCGGAGACCCTTTTTACTGGCAACGAGGCATTCATCTTAGTCTTAGAGGTGATAACGCATCTATTTTTTGATTCTTAACAGAGGATACACGTAACTAATACTAGAAATGCGAACACGCGTATTGCGCGGTTACAATTACCACAGATTAAAAAAATTATTTAGAATCGATTATCATTATATTTTATTTTATATTTATTGAAGTAAAAACTTTTTTAGAATCGTTGTGATTTGGAACTAAATGAAAGGAGAAAGCGACTTTAATAAGAGACCAATATACAAGATGTCCTGTTAATGAAAGTTCAAACGAAATGTGGCGAGAGCCTGCCCACCCAATAAAACGGTCGTTCAATAAAACGGTCGTTCATAGGCAAAAATTATAGTCGTTCATTGACAAAAATATAATTGTTAAATATAGCAAGTGTATAAAATTGATTAACTTGAAAACCTGTTTTGTTGCTAGTTTTGTTTCCACCTCTCTAATTTTGGCCACAATCTCTAATTTTTACATTTTTACATTTGAGATGTACTTCAAAATAAAACAAAAAACTTTTATCAAAAAATTAGGCTCTTCAGCGACGAATTGGCAACAACTTTTTGTTTATTATAAATTGTTTTTTGTCTTATTTTTCTTAAATCTTCATTCATTCCACTATTTTTCAAGCAATGGACATCCAGAATGTTGTACTTTTTCTAACACCACAATATCATAAACTTGATGAAAAATCTCGTCTCGTAGCAATTTGCAAAATTAAGATTTTTTTCTAAAGAAACTGTTCATGTTGTTGGGAAACTGCAATAAATATGCAGTTTCACATCAGAGTCGGAAATAAGACTCAATAAAAAATACGTTTCCGCTTTTTCAATGGAATGGCATATATTATACGTATTAAGGTGATAAATTTTCAATAAAATGGTGAAAATCAAAAAATCTTGAAAACTAACTGTTTTATTAAAAATTTTTGTTTGTTCTCATAGGGCACGATCTCGTCTCTCGCCACATTTCGTTTGGACCACTATTAACAGGACATGCTGTATATATATCTATAGGTTTAGCCTGCAGGAGAAGGAGATAGAATACATTATAGAGTTTCCTATTATCTCGGCCTCCGCTTAGCGGTGCTTTATGGATGATTAGTTTATTAAATAAATAAAACTAAAAATATTGAATAAAATTATGTTAGCCAATCATTCATAACGATCCACAATTTAACCACTAACCGATTTATATTAAATTAGTAGTTTTTTAAGTACCACCATCAGAATCAATCAAGTTTTGTTCAATAAATGACTTGACTTTACCTATTAAATGAAGTAGAATTTACTCTATTACAAAACAATTTTTCTCACAATTCTCTAAAGGTTTTACTTCTATCGCGTGTGAACTGCACACATTTCTTTTATTATTCATTGAAGTGTAAATGCAACATGTCGTTTTGAAACAATCATTATTTTGTTTTATTTTTTAAATTTTAACATTTTATTACTTGTTATTGGAAAAAAGATAAAATGGCCGGAATTGATGCATAAAGGCATTCTCTAACAGTCAATCAATACCCATTATAATATGTAACACTGTGATTAATACGTACGTGTAAATACGACTACTTAACAATATCCAATAATTCTATTTTAAATTATTTTGGAGTTACCAAAATAATTATTTGTCTCTGCTTATACTTATATACTTATACAGGTACATATTATGTATTCACTATATATTCAAAATGTTTATCGTAATTCTTTATGAGATACTATTGTTTTATTGAAATACATAAAAATAATTTCATTATAATAATAATTTTTAATAATCGATATAAACAAACAGTTTCAATGTTAGGAGCGAATATGAAGCTGCATATCTCTATCGACTAGCGTCTTTACATGTGCAAAAGTCTACTTCAGGCCGGCCAAGATAGAACGCACGTACATTACTATCAGGTGGAGTGTTAGTTCGTTTGTCACCCTTATAAGGACTCCTTTTCTAACTAGGAGTCCGGCTAGATGCCACCCTCTTACCTATTCTATTATAAGAATAATATTTAGAACATTGTTATTATTTGACTGATTGAACCAAACTATTTACATTCCTTGTGAACTCTGTAACATCAAACTGTAAATGCGCTGTCTTTAGTATCGAAATCATCATCATCATTACAGCCCTTCACAAGTCCACTGCTGAACGTTCAGTATCGAAATGATAGCATAGATCTATTAATATATAGCTGAAATATATATTATTAAATAATATATGTAATATTTATAACATATAGCAATGTTTGAACTACTCGATTAAGGATACCCTAAGATAGTACAATTACAAATTATTTGACGTTTGTCAAATTATTTGATTAATTAATTGACTTCTAAATTGAAATGGCTGTGGCACATTTCATCTTAGAAGTCATTAGTTTGAAGTTCTTAGTCTTCAGAGGTGACAATGCGTCATTATTCTCGTGCATTATTGATTTATTAACATTTTTTTAAATAGTGTCAAACAAACTTCGAATCCACTTGGTAGTAAATAGTGAGTATTGCATCCTATGAACACCCGCAACGTTAAGAGGAAGGCCTATGTTCGGCAGTTGAACTTTGATAGGCTATAATTAATGAACGAATGATAGCCGCTAGCGAGTTGAATGTACGCTGAGCGTGGTCATGAAATTACTGTTGGCACCACAGTGGCAGAAAAGGGAACTAAATTTATGGGATTTTATGACTCATTTTCAACCGTATTCTAAAGGCTGAAAGCCAGCATAAACAAGACATTGGAGTGAAGCTAAAAGGGCAGAGACATTGACTTGATGTGACGTTTATCTAATGACTGAACTAATTGAAGTCAGGTTTTTTGCAACATATACTTAAACCATGCGTATACGTCAAAAAAGGCACTAACTATCCTCAAACGAGAAACAAAAATTTGTTTACAGAATTCTGGTCTTAACGTAAGATAAACAACATCAGTTACCATAAGCAGCGCTTTACCAATTTGTTAACATCATTTTAATTCTTAAACAATTTTATGCTATAATTCAACGCTTTTTATCTAACGAACGCTGAAGATATTACATAGTTATTATTTGACGTATAATGTTACGTTAAACGTTTGAAAAAAAAAACCCTGCCAAAACCATGTACATCTGCTAGGATTTAAGAAATGTTTTCCAAGCCAGATAATAACATACCTGACTGATAGTATCCGACGTGTCTATAAGGCTGCCAACAGAGTCTACTTCATCGGGCGGTGGCTCTGGAATCGACACCACCGGAGTGACGTATGTGCCGAAATCACTCTGAAAGAAGAAACAAATAAAATTTTTATTTTGCAACAGTCTGTTGACGTACGCAACAATATTATACACATTATTTACTAAGTTAAGTAAGTTTGCTATTTGGCTATGCACACTATTTTGCCAAAAAAGGTCATCATTGAAAATGCGTTGCAGTTAAACCACAACGCTGTTTTCCAGTGATGACCAAAACCTTTAGAAACATAGTAAAAAATAAAAGTAAAGTTACAGCCTATATACGTCCCACTGCTGGGCACAGGACTCCTCTCATTTCTGAGAGGGTTTTAGGGCAAGGAAGTGTCCGCCGCGCTGCCCCAATGCGTGTTGGCGAACTTCACATGTTTTCAAAATATGGTATATGGCCGTGGTAGGCGAGAGCCGTGGTAGCTCAGATGGTTAACGCTCGCTGCAAATATAACAGAACACGAGTAACCTGGGTTCGATCCCCGCCGGCACCAATGAAATTGTTAATTGCAATTTTAAGTAGGAACACAGTACCCGACACAAATAAAATAATAATAATTTTAACAAAAAAAAAATGTAAGCATTGCAATAAAATTAATAATATTAATTCCACCAAAAACAATTAATTTCTGAAAAGAGATCTCTCTAATAAAAAATGTGTACGTGACATTTGGCATACAGACGGGTGATCGTACTGCCTGACATGTCGCATGTTTGCCTAATGGATTTTAATGGACAAAGGGCACAATAGATTTGAAAAGTTGTAAGGATTGTTTATTTTTACTTTTTAAGGTCAAATAGTGATCCTTTCTAACATTTGTCGTATAAAGATATGTTTTTTAAACAAAATGTCAGTGAAAAGTCATAAGTTTTAATACATACATATATATGTGTATATATACAACATGTAACAAAAACGCTGTGGTTCCAGTTAAGTGTGTTATCAGAATCAGTATCCAAGCGTATAGAAATAATTCTCTTTCAAAAAAATACATTTAAAAAAAATAATTTTAATGAAAAAAAATTTGCTAATTGTATGTAGTTTCATTTCCTCTAACTTACACGAGTATTGGTAATGCGGGATCTTTGACAATCCTCTTACTCCTCAGCTAATGCAGAGATAATAAAACCACATACAATTTGCAAATTAATTTTTTTCCATTAAAATTATTTTTGAAATATTTTTTTTTTGAAAAAAAATATTTCTATATGCTTGGATAATGACTCTGATAACGCAGTTAACGGGAACCACAGGGTTTTCTAATTGTCGTATCTTCATATTTATTTTGTTTTACCCTTGACACTGCTAGCCGTCGCTGGGTATTTTACATCTGCCATATACGAGATGGCATACCACCATCTCTCTAAGAGTTTTATATGTATTTGGTCTTAGAAAAATCGTGCCCAGGAATTGCCTGACTTAATTCGTCCCCCTCCGTCTCATCATCGGACCGCCAGACGTTTGGCTGTTCTCCGTTCCTTTGCTGTCGAAATACCATTTAACTAAGTGCTTCGTTTCGTCGTTTATAATGTGTATAGCAAAAGGTGTGGAATAATTTGCCAATATCTGTCTTTTTATCTGATTACAATGTGGGTGTCGTCGAAACAAGAGTGAATAAGCTTGTGTTAAGCTTATTCCGTGTACTTTACCAGCGACGGCTGCATCGCTACTTACCATCAGGTGCAACAGTTATCGAGCACTGGCTCAGAATAGCTAAAAAGCGTAGACGGTAGTAATAATTAATTACAAAATTATATAATGTATAATTTACAAAAAAGAAACATGTATATATATGTACTATTTATATATTATGTATATTGATATGTATATATGTATAAATAGAAGATATTTCTATAGTTTATTTATTTTATGTATCAAAAAATTACATAGTTGATTTTCATTTTTATTTTATTTTATTCTATATTGCCACACCTACGTCAAATTCTCACCATACCATGGGTTGAGTGGTAGAGAATGCCGCAAGGCCCTTGTATTCTTATATATTAATAAGGAATGCAATAAAGTAAAAATAAATATATTCGAACATTCAACACAGAATACAAATATAAGATAAATAACTTAACTACATATAAACATAAGAGACAATTATAATTTTGGGGGAAAAGTACTATTTCGCAGCAATAAACTGTGAAATAGATCGGACTCGTTATCAGTCGTGATAGTCAATACTTTTCTTCGCTAGCAGCCTGAGTCATCTTAGGCTACTGTGCCCGCACTTTTAACATATCAAATCCGAGAATTTTAACATGATTCCAAAGGTAAATAGTATGTGATGTAGTTATAATCCAATAAAATGTTAGAACCCATTATATACAATGTTACAATATTATTTTTTATATTGATTCCCCTCTTAAAATTTTAGGTGTGATACTTTTGAAGTATTATTAAGCATTATGACATCATGATCAACATCAGTGAATAATTTCAATTGGTGCGTTCATTTTGACAGACCTATTAAGAGTCAACGAATGGAAAAGATAGAATATCTTTAGTTATCTTTTCTATCAGATTGTACTGACCTGTATGAGAAAATTGGGTGGATTCGACGGTAGGACGGGTAGTGTTAGCAGATTTCTGTAGTACTGGAGACTGCTAGCATGCTTGTAGAAGGAACTTAGTTTCTTAAACTGCTGCCGGAATCTACAAATAATATTGACATTAAAAAAAACAATGAACCGAACTGCAGTGATATAATTAAGAGGAAAAAATGCTAAATTACACGGTTTACTCGTTAAAATTATATGTTTTCTGTTCGTTCCTTAAAATAACAATTAACTGGTAAAAATAGTTCGTTTTCCCTACTACAATAAGCTCAGAGCAAATTTTAGATAACTTATTTATTTATGTAGTAATAATCATTCTCCCGATGCGTGTTTAGGCCAAAACTCTGAGAGACATGATTTGGGAGCTCTAATTTACAGATTCTATTGAATATCGACCATCAAAAAAATATTTTTATCTCACAAATATCCTATACTCTAAAAATTATAGTATATACTAGCTTGCCAGGCAGACGTTGTTCTGCCCTTTACGAACGACCCTTTGTCATGTCCTATTAAAAATCCTTAAATTAAAATCCTTAAAAAAATTTTGGGTCACTCATGGGCAAAAAACTATCCTATCTCTCAAGTTGGACCAAACTGCACAAGGTGTACAAATTTGATTAAAATCGGTTTAGTAGTTTAGGGGTTCATCGCGGACAAACAACGTGACACGTAATTTATAGTATATATTTACGTAAGGAAAAAAGGGCCTTTCACGTAAGGAAAAAAATCTACATAATTCAAATAACAACCGAAAAAGCTTCGATACAAGCCCCATTTACTCCGAAGTTCTACATCATTTTGACGTAAAATTTATACCAAAATAATCATCAACATTTACTTAAACTATACTATGATTTTCACTTTCTAAATCGTTACTATTTTATTTTTTTAATTAATTAAAGCTACCATATATTTCACTGCGCCAGCCATCTGAAATGATTACCGCGCGAGCGGTCGTCGAGGTTGAACCTAAATCACTTGATGTCGCGCGCTCCGTCTCTTTTCGACATTATCGTAGTGTGCGCCAATTGCAGTTATAGGGGTTGCTATTTTGGCCTGCGTTCCGGAACTCAACTACGATCGCAGTTTTTGATCGTTGGAAGTATTTACTTTCATACAGTATATTTCAATTAGTATAAAGTTGACACATTATTCGTAATGACTCTCGAAAACAGCATATAGATGCGGCTCATAAGGGAAATCGGTCTGCAGTTCTTTAAGAGAGCGTTGTCGCCCTTCTTAAAGAACAAGACCACCGCACTTCTGCTCCACGCCTATGGAGTAGTGCCGCCATGGAGGACGGAATTGAAGAGCTTCTGAAGGACTTCAAGTACCGGTGTTCCACCCGCTTTCAGAAGCTCCGCTGTAATTCCATCCTCGCCTGGGGCCCTGCCGTTTTTAAGGTGCTGGAGAGCCATTCTAATCTCGCTTAGACTGACGTCCGGGACATCATCGGAATAGTGTCGGATAAGACTTGCTCTTGGATCGTTACTCACACTTGCGTGTGGCTCCAACGATGATGTGTACAGCTGCCCATAGAACCTCTCAATCTCACTCAAAATCTCAGGTGTCCCGGAAACGATGCGGCCACACTCAGTCTTCAGCTTTGACAGTTGGCTCTTACTGGCAGACAGATCTCTGGCAAAGACTTTGGAGCCCTGGTTCCGCTCGATCGCTTCTTTAATATGAGAAGTATTAAAGTTGCGTAAGTCTCGCCGCATGCATTTGGAGATCTGTCTGTTCAGTTGCCTGTGTGTTGTCAAATCTGTTGACGATTGTAGCCTCATCTCCCGTCTAACAGCCATGAGATTAAGAGTGTGATCGGAGAGTTTTTGTGTTCTTCTGCGGCGGGTCTTGCAGAACTTAGCTCCGACCGCATGGACAGTTTCCACGAGCTTGTCATTCATATCGTCCACTGAATTGCAATCTTGTAGGCACTGAAAGCGGTTACGTAACTCGAGCTGAAAGTTTTCGGGATTCTGGATTAGAGCACGAGGGGGACGGAGCGTAGACTTCATTAGACGAGACCTCTCCAACTTAACGTTTAGGTTCAGTGTGCCTCTAACAATTCGGTGATCGCTGCCAGTTTTCACCCTTGCGATCACTGAGACATCACTAAACAGTTGGCGTCTGGTCGTCATAATGAAGTCAATCTCATTTTTTGTCGAACCGTCGGGGCTCGACCAGGTCCACTTCCTGTGGGGCCGCTTCTGGAAGAAAGAGTTCATCATAAAGAGTCCCTGTTTCTCCATAAAGTCGGCCAGCTGCTGGCCCCTTCGGTTCCGTTGCCCTACTCCAAATTTCCCTAACTTCAGCTCACCGTTTTCTCTTGTGCCTAGTTTTGCGTTGAAGTCTCCCATCAACACCGTGTAGTGAGTTTTGGAGGAATGCATGGCTTTGGAAATATCCTCATACATTTCCTCCACCTCCTCATCGGGATGTGCCGAGGTTGGTGCGTAAACCTGTATGACCTTCAGCGAATACCGTTTGGTGATTCTGAGTATCAGGTACGCGACCCTCGTCGACATACTCCCAATCTTCACAACGTTGTTGACGAGAGACTTGTGGACGATAAATTCAACACCTCCTTGGGACAGATGGTCGCCCTCCCGGTGATAGAACAAGTTGCCGGATTCGAGAATCACCGTGCCCTCCCCCTCTCTTCGGACCTCGGATAATCCTATAATATTCCAGCGCAACTTGTCTATCTCTTCTTCCAGCTCCAGGATCTTCTCGTCAGTCCTCAGAGTGCGTGCGTTAAAATGTTGCCAGGTCGAGTCGTCGTAGGTGGCAACCGAACCTCCACCGGAGATTCTTAGCACCCCCTGCCCCGCCGTTACCATGGTCGCCACCGTAGCCAGGAATAGCGGGGCCGCCGGGGACTGGGGGCCGTCTATTTGTGTAATTATTCATGGGGTACCCCCATGAATAATTACACTTGAATGAGGTATATTGCCATAGTTGCCACGCTTGGCGAGCGGGTTGGCAACCGCAGTTTTTTTTGTTGAATCGTCTCGCGCGCAGACTCGACGACTTCCAGCCTCCCGAACAAGCCGGTTTCCGAAAAGGCTTCAGTACCATAGACCACATACATACCCTGCAGCAGATTGTACAGAAAACTGAAGAGTACAATCTACCACTTTGCCTGGCGTATGTGGACTATGAGAAAGCCTTTGATTCCGTCGAAATTTGGGCGGTGCTACAGTCCCTCCAGCAGTGCCAAGTTGACTGTCGGTATATCGAAGTGCTCAAGTATTTGTACAGTAGGGCTACGATGGCTATCTGAGTACAGAACCAGAGCTCGAAACCTATCCAACTGCAGAGAGGTGTAAGACAGGGTGACGTTATATCCCCGAAACTCTTCACCGCTGCATTGAAAGACGTTTTCAAGCTACTGGACTGGAAAGGATACGGTATTAACATCAATGGCGAGTACATCACTCACCTTCGATTTGCCGACGATATAGTCCTTATGGCAGAATCACTGGAGGACTTAAGCGCTATGCTCAATGACCTCAATAGTGCCTCCCAACGGATAGGTCTTAAGATGAACATGGACAAAACAAAGATCATTTTCAATGTCCATGTCACACCTATGCCGGTAGTTGTTGGGAGCACTATGCTCGAAGTTGTTGACGAGTGCGTTTACCTGGGACAAATAGTCCGACTAGGTAAGTCCAACTTCGACCGAAAGGTCAATCGACGGATTCAACTCGGCTGGGCAGCGTTCGGGAAATTACGACATATATTCTCGTCAGGTATACCTCAATCTCTAAAAACTAGATTGTACAACCAGTGCGTGTTGCCAGTGATGACTTACGGATCTGAGACGTGGTCCTTCACTGCTGGCCGTATGAGGACGCTCAAGGTCGCTCAGCGAGCTATGGAGAGGGCTATGCTCGGAGTTTCTCTGCGTGATAGACTCAGAAATGAGGATATCCGCAGTAAAACCAGAGTGACCGACATAGCCCAACGGATTAGTAAGCTGAAGTGGCAATGGGCCGGCCATATAGCTCGAAGAACCGATAACCGATGGGGAAGAAAGGTTCTTGAGTGGCAGCCTCGTACCGGTAGGCGTAGTTTAGGGCGACCCCCCACTAGATAGAGTGACGACCTGGTATGATATGCAGGAAGTCGATGGATGTAGATGGCTCAGGACCGTGCTTTGTGGCATTACTTGGGGGCGGCCCATGTTCAGCAGTGGACTTGTGAAGGGCAGTAATGATGATGATGATGATGACACATTATTATTATACCAGATAGTTAACTCATTATAGTTATTTTGATTGTAGCTGAGCTTTCTTACCAGTCGGAATGGGGAAAAATAAATACAAGTATCAACGTATTACTAAACGTAAAAAGAAGAAATAATCTATCTTTGGAAAAATCATAATGGAGAATAAAAATGTCTGCATGCTTGCCATATGGACTGGCCCAGATTATGCAGTAGAAGTACTAAAAATCAACAAAGACGACAAACTTTGGATTTTGAATATGTTACCCAAGTTACAAGTGTTTTATAAAAAGTGTCTACTGCCTGAAATTATTGACTCGATATAAGCTCGGTCAACGCGCTTGCGACAAATATTTTTATAAGAAAAAAAATGGTAAATGACTGTAAGTACTGATTAAAAAAAGGATTAGTTATAGTTGGTTATTTTATTTATTAAAACAGGATGCAACCGTACCATTTATTTATTTATAACACTATGCTACCATTAGTAGATATAATCGATTATTAACCAACATCGGTTAACAATCGATTACTGTGAAACAATTAAAATATTTATGTGTACTTATTTCAACTCTAAGGTACATAAATAATAAAAAATATAAAAAATAAATTATAATAAATTAATTAGATAAATTAAAAATGACACCAAAAATTTTCCATCAACTGAACTCCATCCTAAGAAAATTTGTATAATAAAAGATCGTTAATCGCTATACTCACAGTATCATAGTGCGAGCGAGTGAATAGATATCCCCGCTCGGAGCATAAAATACCTAAATTTGCGTAACTTAAGCGAAAATGTAAGAGGGCTCTTAATATTGTTACGAGCTTGAGGTTCGTGACAATAAAAATTGCCGATAAAATTACCTAAATTAACACTTTAATTTACTTTACACAAATTAAAACTAAAAACACTAATAATTAAACACACTAATTCACTTAATTCCGCTCCGAAGCTTCGCTTGTGTCGCCGAGTTCAACTCTGCCCGATCGCATCTTGCAGCGCCTACTTATATAAATTAGCAAAATATCCAGAATGTTCAAGTAAACACGCGCAAGGTACCGAGAGTTCGAGTTTTAAACTTCAAGAAGTTTAGTTCTTTGGTTCGAGACTAGATGGCGCTAGTGCGTCGATTTTAGCGCGTAACACTGCCCCCTCCTAAGACATGCTCGTCCCGAGCATTATCGGTCCCATAATAACGCGCTAGGCGATCCACATGGACGATCTTAGGAGTCCCTCTTGCGCCTTTCTGTAACGGCTCCGCAATGTCAAGGGCTGTTCTATCCCGTAGTGCACCAACATTGTACAATTTCGGTGCTCCTCTACTACGTGTCTGAGGTCCCCGCACGGCCGCACAACTTGTACATGTACGACACCAATCCTCGACATCGTCACGATAATGGGACCCAGTAAAACTGTTCTCGGACCTTCAGTAGAGTTCGTTTAACTCCCAGATGGACTCTTGAACGACTATTATGGCACAGCTGTAGAACATTCGGCACTTTAGCTTTAGGGACAACCATTTGCAAACGACAGCTGTTCCTTCGACCATTGTCCCATTTACGGCACAGGACTCCATCCTGAATCAGCAAGCTGTCCCATTGGGCCCAATAGCTTTTCGTGGTTGAACTCATCGCTGAGACGTCCCTCCACTTAGGCTTGGTAGCACGGGCCTTCATCCATCCCAGAATCGGCTTGATGTCCGGATCTTCCTGCTGTGCATGTCGTAGGTTGTCCTTCCACCCGTTGCTGAGGTGGTCTGTCCTGAGCATCCTCACGGATACCACTTCCTTACTCTTTTGCCTACTACAATGGTTGCAATCTTCAGGACAAGGTCTTCTTGTCAGTGCATCTGCGTTGCCGTGAGATTTCCCCCTGCAGTGTCTGATAGTAAAGTCGTATTCCTGCTGCTGCTGGGCGGTGCTGTTAGCCGCACTTCCTTTCTGAGACCGTTCACCTTCCCTTCCTAGGGTGTGCTTAGGGCAGCTGGACCGAAGATGGCCCCTTTCCCCACAGCCATAGCACCTAGGGTATCTTTTATTGTGGTCGCGAACCGTAACTGCTGTAACCTCCCTAGCGTGAGGTGAACGATGATCCTGTCGCCGCCAGGCAGTGCCGTTAGCTGTACTACCCTCTCGAGATCGATCAACTCTCCTTTCCACGGTTATTTTAGGGCAGCTGGATCGAAGATGGCCCTTTTCCCCACCGCCATAGCACCTAGGGCTGTATCCTTTGCTGCGGTCACGGTCTGTAGCTGCTGCAACCTCCCTGAATGATGGGAACGATAATCCTGCCACACGGCTTCCACCTCCAGTGCATGGGCCAAGGCGTACTTAAGCGTCTCGTGGTGCCCGAGCCTCGCAGCAGCTCTGACTTCCAGGTCACGGATGCCGTCGATGAATGTCTACACCAGGTATTCCCTTCAATGAGCGCAGGTACAGACCGGTTTGCTTTTCGCACCAGCTTCTCCACCTCTAGAGCCCACTGCTGCAGGTTTTCGTTGATGCGCTGCACGCGATCTTTAAGCTGCGCACGAAAGACGTGTTCCAGGTGAGCGTCGCCATATCTCACCTCCAATGCCTCAAGGAGTTGCTCATAAGTTACTTCCTCACCGAGAGCTTCCAGAACTGTTAAGGCCTGGTCGCGCAGGCCTAGTGTGAGAGCAGTCATGGCCTGATTTTTAATCCAGCCGTTCACCTTCATAACAGCCTCGAACTGGATTTTGTAGGCTGACCAGGAAGAGGTACCGTCGAACGGTGGCACCTTGAACCCACGTAGCGAAGGTGTTGTAGCTACTACGGGAGCTGTAGCTCCATCTCCAAGTTTGAGTTCGTCCAGTGATTTCTTCATGTCAGCCATTACGTTGTCAACCCGATTGTTTACTTGGTCGATTCGGGTTTCAGCTTTCTCGATTCGGTTTTCAGCTTTCGCGATTTGGGTTTCAGCTTCCGACAGGCGTTTGTCATGCTGAGCAACCCTATCCTTCACCTCCTTTATCTCCTTCCCGAAGGTAGCGTGAAGGTCCTTCATGAGGAGCATCTGTTCCTCCTGTCGGCGGGCCTGTTCCTCTTGTCCGCTCTGCAGCTGCTCTTTCAGCTGACGGACCTGTTCCTCCTGTCCGCTCTGCAGCTGCTCTTTCAACTGACGGACCTGTTCCTCCTGTCGGCGAGCCTGCTCCTCCTGTCGGCGAGCTTGTTCCTGCAGCATCACCATCAGGGCGCCTAAATCAGGTGCTGCAGATGCAGGAGCTACTGACGAACCGGCCTCCGTTGCCGGCGGCTGGCCCTCCGACGTCTGCGGCGTTGCACCACCAAATCTTCTCTGGTCCATCTCATGCTGGCGTTGACTGCGGGTACGAACACCCTCCGTTTCCTCCTTAGGTAAAATCGGCATGATTTTATCCCACTTCTGACACCAATTGTTACGAGCTTGAGGTTCGTGACAATAAAAATTGCCGATAAAATTACCTAAATTAACACTTTAATTTACTTTACACAAATTAAAACTAAAAACACTAATAATTAAACACACTAATTCACTTAATTCCGCTCCGAAGCTTCGCTTGTGTCGCCGAGTTCAACTCTGCCCGATCGCATCTTGCAGCGCCTACTTATATAAATTAGCAAAATATCCAGAATGTTCAAGTAAACATGCGCAAGGTACCGAGAGTTCGAGTTTTAAACTTCAAGAAGTTTAGTTCTTTGGTTCGAGACTAGATGGCGCTAGTGCGCCGATTTTAGCGCGTAACAATATATATTTTTTCTATGTATAAAATTGAAATGTCCTCATTATCTTGATTGTGCACACGATACTATTTTTTGGTAGCAAGCTTTTTATAAATTAATTCTCACCAAAAGACGCGGTAGCTTCCAAGTGACAGTAGCTGAATAGCCGAGGCGTTAACCACAGTACCATTCCCAACACAAGCATTTATAAGCTTGCTGGGACACTCCAAGGGACGTTACCGATATTATGAGTAATGTGAATAGTTACTAATATTCTTTTCTTCAAATCACTCTCATTTTACTGCTGTGCTGTGCTGGGGGCGTACCTCTCGCGGTGGCCGGCGAATGTGTCGGGCGGCAGCGCGGCGTGAAGGCGGAACAGCAGGCGCACGTTGCAGTCGTAGATGTGCGACGCGTCCTGCGCACGGGAGCAGCACTGCCAGGAGTGCTGGGGGCGTACCTCTCGCGGTGGCCGGCGAGTGTGTCGGGCGGCAGCGCGGCGTGCAGGCGGAACAGCAGGCGCACGTTGCAGTCGTAGATGTGCGACGCGTCCTGCGCACAAGAACAGCACTGCCAGGAGTGCTGGGGGCGTACCTCTCGCGGTGGCCGGCGAGCGTGTCGGACGGCAGCGCGGCGTGCAGGCGGAACAGCAGGCGCACGTTGCAGTCGTAGATGTGCGACGCGTCCTGCGCACAAGAGCAGCACTGCCAGGAGTGCTGGGGGCGTACCTCTCGCGGTGGCCGGCGAGCGTGTCGGACGGCAGCGCGGCGTGCAGGCGGAACAGCAGGCGCACGTTGCAGTCGTAGATGTGCGACGCGTCCTGTGCACAAGAACAGCACTGCCAGGAGTGCTGGGGGCGTACCTCTCGCGGTGGCCGGCGAGCGTGTCGGACGGCAGCGCGGCGTGCAGGCGGAACAGCAGGCGCACGTTGCAGTCGTAGATGTGCGACGCGTCCTGCGCACAAGAGCAGCACTGCCAGGAGTGCTGGGGGCGTACCTCTCGCGGTGGCCGGCGAGTGTGTCGGGCGGCAGCGCGGCGTGCAGGCGGAACAGCAGGCGCACGTTGCAGTCGTAGATGTGCGACGCGTCCTGCGCACAAGAGCAGCACTGCCAGGAGTGCTGGGGGCGTACCTCTCGCGGTGGCCGGCGAGTGTGTCGGGCGGCAGCGCGGCGTGCAGGCGGAACAGCAGGCGCACGTTGCAGTCGTAGATGTGCGACGCGTCCTGCGCACAAGAGCAGCACTGCCAGGAGTGCTGGGGGGTACCTCTCGCGGTGGTCGGCGAGTGTGTCGGGCGGCAGCGCGGCGTGCAGGCGGAACAGCAGGCGCACGTTGCAGTCGTAGATGTGCGACGCGTCCTGCGCACAAGAGCAGCACTGCCAGGAGTGCTGGGGGCGTACCTCTCGCGGTGGCCGACGAGTATGTCGGGCGGCAGCGCGGCGTGCAGGCGGAACAGCAGGCGCACGTTGCAGTCGTAGATGTGCGACGCGTTCTGCGCACAAGAGCAGCACTGCCAGGAGTGCGGGGGGGTACCTCTCGCGGTGGCCGGCGAGCGTGTCAGGCGGCAGCGCGGCGTGCAGGCGGAACAGCAGGCGCACGTTGCAGTCGTAGATGTGCGACGCGTCCTGCGCACAAGAGCAGCACTGCCAGATGTGCTGGAGGGGTACCTCTCGCGGTGGCCGGCGAGCGTGTCAGGCGGCAGCGCGGCGTGCAGGCGGAACAGCAGGCGCACGTTGCAGTCGTAGATGTGCGACGCGTCCTGCGCGCACGGGATCAGCGCCGCCAGCCGGCACTGCCCGCTCGCCGTCATCGAGTTGGCGCGCGCGTTGCCCAGGCTCTCGAACACTACCAAAGGACAACATTACAATTTTGAAAAACGCAAAGGCATCTATGTCCCCGCAGCCTCGTCATCCGTGTCGCATTAGTCGCAAGTTTTAAGAGAGTTTGACTCAACAGCTTAACTCAGCAAAACCGAAGACCCTATTTTACTGTAAACAAAGCATTCCATCTTGGCCTCACGGGTGACAACGCATCTGTATTTTGATTCGTAATCGAGGCTATATGAAGATGTCTGTGGTCCACAGCAACCATTAACGATCAGGTGGACTGTTAGCTCGTTTGTTACCCTTACCCTATACAAAAAGAAGACGTTATATCGCATAAGCCGACGCATAAGCCGACAAAATAACTTGAATATCACATCACCATCGGAGCATTCACATCCTGAGACATTAGAAACTCCCACTATCGCCTCTTACGACACCCACAGGAACAGGATGATATGGGTTGATGGATTCTAAACACATCGTGATATTTCAGAATTGATTAACTTACCTGCCGCTTGTAGGTTTAAAATGTCGTCCATGTAATCGAATAACTCGACGCATATCTGGAAACTGAAAAAGAAATTACTTCAATTATTATCTTATACTAAACTAAAATCGTTAAACGTAACAAGACATCAAAATTAACAAGAGAATAATAGATTGCGAATTTTCATCCAAAAATTATTATTTTAAACTTTAATATATATGATATACATTCATTTCTCGAAACCATTGAACATTTTAAACCATTTTGTCACAACTGGACATTTATTACAATTTTGTGGTGGCGAAGCCGGGCGGATCTCTAGTATGGACAAGATCTATTAATTGGCGTTATTTAGATTTAGGATAATCAAAGACCATTTGTTTATTTAAATTTTATTAATAAAAAACATTTTCAAATTTTTCGACATAATACGTCCTTGATCGCTCCTGGCATTGCCCTCTATCTGTTTGTAAATTTTTATCACAATCGGTTAAGCCATTTTAAAGATTAGCCTGGACAGTAAGACAGACAAAATATTTAAAAAAAATTGTTATTAATTTCTAAATATCATACAAATAACGCCCTGAGCTTAATAGAAGCCAATTATATCAATATTACAGACAAACACTTCAGTTTTATTTATGTGTATATACAACATGTAACGTAATTAACGCACTTTGAGAAAGTAGTTTGTTTAGAATCGATTACTGAATCGATTCCTATCATTTTTAATATAGGTAATTTTTATGCCAAAAATAATTAAAAATACGTAAATTAGGGGGGTATAACAGTTACACTAAATCTGTACAGTCAAAACAAACTCAAATGGACCGTGACCGAAGGCACTAAGACTTTTAAGAGTGCAGTTTTATTTGTATTATTACTAATTCTGTCATTCAATAAAAATAAATAAAAATGAACTTTATTTCAAGCACGTTAAAGTCTTTGCGTTCGTGGATTTGTACTGTGACCACAACATTCTTCCGGAATTAGTATAAATAATTTGATAAATAATCAGTGCATAAAAATGTTTAACTAAAAATTCAGTGTATGTATTATGATTATAACATAATATACTAATTGGGGTGTCTGAGGGTGTGCGTTAATTACGTTACAAATTGTATATGTTATGAAACAAAGTTAATCTTACTAATTATTGACATCGTTCTCTGCGATGTTATCCAGCTCGTCAGCGGTAAGCTGCATGTTGCCCGGGAAGCGCGGGTTGCGGTTGTGAAACTTCAGCTTGCACACAAGCAGATTGCAGTACAAGTGTACCAAGCGGCCATAGCCCTCGCGAAGGTGCACCTGCAACAAGCGAACAATAAGACCAGTGCTGATCGCAGGCTACTCTCATAAATTATCGTAAATATAGCCGTAGGCTATTTACACACACCCACTTCCAGTTTCCAGTACACGTTTTTAAAACATCATTTCATCTACTGTGCGCGTAAGATCCGAATAAGATATGGTTTCTTGACATCTGCACTCTCGATTTGCCATTTTTGTACTGCCAGCATAAGTCGAGTAAAATATTTGTTAGTACTATACAATATACAGTGCCTCTACACTTCATAGTTATGAAATTCTTTTGTTTGATGTGATGTGATAGCAGACTTAAATTAACGTCAGATATAAGAGGAAAAACATATTAAAGAATCCTTAATTTTTACAAAAATGATCGTCTCGGTTAGAATATGACTTCATAGCCAAGTAATCTAACCTAAGCACTCTATTTTCGATAACATATTACAACTATTAACACAAGCACGAATGAATTTGATCTCACAGAATACCAACGTAAAATAGCAGCTTTATGCATTGTTTCGTATGGTGAGTGTAGAGAACCAAAAATACTTTTTACTGGAAACGAGGCATTCCATCTTAGTATTTAGGGGTAACAAGGCACCTGTATTTCAAATCTTAATCGAGGATAAATGTAGATATCTGTGTGCCTCGGCATCCACTTAGCATCAGGTGGACTGTGTATGTTGACCACCCTTACCCTAAAAAAATGTAGTCAATCAAACACAAGCTTTGCTTTAGCAAATTTATGGTCCTCGAACAAGTATCAATAAAACGTATTTACCCATAGCTTGCCTAGGTTCTCGATCATCCCGATATGTCGCTGTGAGTCATCCAAGCAGGCGGGGTGACCCTCGCGCAGCAACTTGTGCGTTACATGGCAGAACTTCCATGCGACGATACGGTTATCAAGTAAAGGCTGACGGATCGCCACCATCTGAACAAACAATTTCCATTAGCATAATCCTAAGGTTACATTCATGATTAGAGATTCATTTTAATATAATTTTTGTTGCCTCAATTACAGCAATCCATTTAAAAGAAAACTTATGTGAATATAGTGATATAAACTTTTGGAACAAGTAACTTATAACTTATAATACAATTAATAAGTATTGCTTGTAATCGCTTGCGCGGTCTGCATTATGCAATTGGAAGACACTAATAAACAAAATGTACTGGACATGATGAGTTTTTCTTTTTTCTTTCTAACTCATTTTTTTAATGTCTCACAATAGATTTTAAATTATTGCACATTAAAATAGTGGATTTGGTCAAATATTACTTTCAAAAGATATTATTAGACAAGAAGGATTATTTACATTAATTAGAGAAATTTGTAATACCAAATTATTATATATTATATATTACCAACGAATCAAATATATCACAAAGCTTACATAATCATAAGTGTTAAAGCATGAAGTTTCCTTCTTCTGCTTCCTGCTTCAAATTAAAACTGTATGGTCTAAGATTTGTGATTAAGTTTTTTACACAAAAATATTATAAATGCAAAAATTTTATGACATTCTATTGATTGACTTTCAATTGTTTTTACATTCAGCATTCAAATTAAATATGGAGACCTTAAAAATTAAAATAATTTTCGATGGAAATTTTATCGCTACGAAATTATAGTATAAATTATATGGCTATATAAATGTTACGTTCGGATAATAGTCCAGTAATTTAAGCTTAAATTGGGTAAGAATCTTGGAATTCGAGATACCCAGCTATAATAAGTCTGTAAATATTTGTATATTGACACCTTAAAAGTTGTCTCAAAACCTACCTATGGTAGGGTGTACGCAACTATTAAATTTCAAGGTCAAAGGTCACAAAAATCGGCTTTTCGGAAGTGATGCTGTGACCGCGCGCTCTCGGCCCTCTATCCCAACAAAAACGGTTCACCGTATAAAAAATGTTTTAAACAAAATTTATAGAGAATTTTGTATTCTACAATATTGATAATTAATACAAATAGCAAAAAACCCATAGGAAGTGAGATATTTACAAAAAAAAAGCGCAAGAAACCGATTTTTGTGACCTTTGACTTTGAAATTTAATAATTGCGTACACCCTACCATATGTAGGTTTTGGGACAACTCTTAGAGTGTCAATATACAAGTATTTACAAACTTATAGCTGGGTATCTCGAATTCCGAGGTGAACTTACTATAATGACTGGACTATAAACGATAAGACTCACGAACGCACTGTGCGTTTTTGGTATAATCACTTTCATAGTAATTTGGACTTAAGGTATGAACCACGAAGGGCGACCAGACAAGTGATTCCTCAAACCTCTCGCACCTTTGACGGTGGTCCTCGTCGCTGGTGAAAGAGATAGCGCCTTCTATTGGAAGTCATAAGATCTATCTGAGCTATTACATAGTCGTTTCTTACGTCTCCACGGGACGAAATAGGGTGGTGGATTCTCTTTATATTTTACATCTGACATCAATAATGTTTATACTTTTATCTATTATCAGATCTTGGCATTTGCCATAGGCAATTATTACGATAATTACAGGATAACGTATTGTAATGAACATGGTAATTTCAAATGGTAATTAAGTTTTATTCGTTATAAATATTGAAATATAAGAAAATGCATTTATCGTGAGATTATTACTTTAAAAAAAGTGAATTTTTACCCAATACGTAACAGCGCTTTGCTCTTGGAAGGTACCAATAATTGTACTCCGGACATGTTTCTCCTTTACAGGGGTCTCGATCGCGTTGATAGCTTTTTGTATAGCTAGTGTCTGAAATAAAAAAAATCATCAGTTAATAATGTAGACCACGACTGACCTGACCCTGAGAACTAAGTGCGATCATATAGGTGCCCAGTAATTGGGATTCATCGTCTATAATCAGCTATTTTACGTTGAAGTTCAGTGAGAGCGTGGCACTTCCACGGATTTGCGAACCACAACAACTGTTAACGTGGTAGAGCCATTCTCTAACTATTGTGCTTGTAGCACAAATTAATCGGCTCGATCGAGGAAGGACCACGCTCTCACATATTACAAGTTTAGTATGCTGAGTGTAAAGAACAGGATACAGCATTTTGATTCTTAATTTCAACACCCACGGTTGTTTCACGGGGATTCAAGAACCACGGGTCAAAATGAGTTTTTAAAAAAAAGAATATTAACAAAGCTATAAACATTACTAATATTCCCCTTAACCACTCGTGGTAAGCTTAAATTGCTTGTGTTACGAGTGGTTCACGCCAGTAGTCGAATGGCGGATTCGAATCAACGACCTTTTTAAGTTCGCGGTCCGCGCCCTGCCATTAGGCTACTGTCGCTTCAACAAACTCTGTTACGCTGCCACTACACACGATATGTATAACATCTATTTATGAAGTGAAAACATCTTTAGAATCGTTGAGATTTGAAAGTCGATACGAAAAAGCGAAACTAAACCTAGACATACATATACATCTATAGGATTTAGCCTGCGAGAGAATGAGATAGAATACAGTGTAGACCGCGAACTCAAAAGGTTTTGAGTTCGAATTCGCCATTGGACTACTATCTTTGTTGTATTTTTGTTAAAAACTATGGTTTGGATATATTTTTAAAACCCTGTTAGGTATCTAGGTCTCATGTTAGTGCCAAACATTAAAGATGGATGGAAGAAAATTAACCATATTTAAATAAAATTATCTTATTATACTTAATTTAAAACAATCCACGATTTCGTAACTTTAGGCCATCTAGCGTCTATTTTACGTAAAACGACTTTACATATAGAATGAAGTAGGTGGCGCTATTACAATGCAATTTTACTCGAAATAAAATATTTCTTTGATTTATTACGCTACTAAAATTAAGTCTAAAAATAAGGATTGTAACATTTATTCATCATAAAATTTAACTTATACTTAATGCCGCACTTGTGGTTGAAAATAATCAATATTAAATAATTTGATGTGAAATTATTTTATTTCATTTCTTTTTTTTTCACTTTAATAATAAAAATATTATAAATTAAGAGGTGAGAGTAAGTCAGCTCAAATTCTAATTTCGCCCCCACTTCCCCGCGCGTCGTATGCTATGTACCGACATGTTTGTAATCACTAATACTCTAAGTAGATAGGTCGTTAGATACTTATTTCATTAGGTTTATCATATTTATGCCTGTTTCTTAACGCCAACCCAGTCGCTTCTTATTTTTATAACGGTTATTTCCCATTTTAATTTTACGTCTTACTGTTGCGTAATGTGTTTTCTGATCGTAAGCGACACAACTTCTCCCTTCAAAAGCCGGAGCAATACTAACGGAGCGACAGGAATCAAGCTTACGCGTCGATAGTTTAGGTAATTTCTTTTTTACAGTGAAAATAATGGTATTTTAAAAAAAGTAAATAACATAAGCACTGCTTTATAGTTAGTTCAGTTAGTATGCAAAGTTTCATGATCTTATTTAAAGTATTTTATGAATAGCAGCGGTTTATTGTTCAGTTTGGAGGTAACTTTGGATTTTTTTTCTATCGAGAAAATTTTACGGAATCGTGTTTTCGTCTAACATAAACCTTAACATTAATCCTCAACTTTACCATATATTTATTTCAAAATTAATGCTGCAATACTTTCGGCATAACGGAGGATCTTGCTAAGCCATTTGAGGTTATATTTCCTCTTAAGGGGTTGCGAGAAGAGTGGATAAATTAAATCAAAACCCCCGTGTGGTTTCTTGTAACATAATACAAACGTTTTATTAAATGATAACCTTTTTCTTTATTATGCAGGAAATACGCATTATATGGCAATTCACGCGCATTTGGTAAAGTAATGAAATTGTGATTTACGACAGACGAAACACCTCGTTATTTTATCATGATTAATTTATCACTTGTGTCTTGCTTCTTTAAAGTGACCACGTATTAAACTGAATACGGTAGTTGCGTTAAATGCAATCTTTATCGTCGGCTGCATTTCCGTAGCTGTGACCTCTTAACGCAAGCCTCGCTTATCATGATGTGTATCCAACATTACAATTAGGATTAATAAAGGCACAAAGCAGCAAAAATTTTCCTACAATTTTTTTTATTTTCGCCATATACTCAATTTTTACTGGTTATAGCTCCGAAAATACAATATTTGATACTATCCGCCCTGTCTTCGCTTAGGTACAACTTATTAACGAGGTTTTATTTACATTTAAGATAATTTAAGCGCCTCGTTGGTCTAGTGGTTGTAGTAGTGCGACTGCTGATCATGAGGTCCTGGGTTCGAATCCCGGGTCGAGCCAAAAAAACTAATTATTGAGTTTTTCCGTCAAGAAATTCTCAGTGGTTGCCCGGAGTCAGGAAGTTGGCGATATCTCACCCCAGTGTCTTGGAATTCACGTAAAGTCGTTGGTCCTGCGCCTGATCTCTCGCCGGTCGTGTCGGTTTACCGTCCCATCGGATTATGAGAGTGAGGGAATAGAGAGTGCACCTGTGGTTGCGCATACACTTGGACAATACAATCCTGTCCTGCGCCGATGATTAACCTCCGCTGAGGCAGGCCGCCATGGCCCTGGAGGACATTATTATTATTATTAATATAAGCGCATTTATTTTATCGATATTTAGCTTTTCTTTTTTACAAAAAATTCCAAGCATTTCGGATAAAATATTGCCTAGGTCTGTTTCCTTCATTTACAATCGATTCATCCATTCCGAATATTTGGCCGGAGAGACAAATAATAAAAATAAACTGATTATTCGTGTTTTAATGGCATGCAAATAACCCCCACAGCTCATTATATGGCAGTTATATCGATATTACAGACTTCAATTTTATTTATATGTATATATGAGAAATTTGGCAGCTCCAGTACATTATATATATTTAGTAATTTACTTCCAACTTTTTAAAAACAATATCAATCATATTTTTCCAAAAAAAAATCAAATGTTTCGGATTGTACAAAAAGCTCAGAGATGTTGAATACTCGGAGAATCATTTCAGAGGCCTACTCGTATTATCAGACAATCTGAAAAAACTAAATGTCAGTTTAGGCAAAAAGGGTTTTCTTCGAAACTCAAGTTTAGTATTGTGACTTTAAAACGATAACTAACCTAAAATAATTAGAATAAAGGTAATAAAAAAGCAAAATTAATACCTATTTAATATAATGCAAGTGAATGTTTGTTACCGTGTAGTGGCGGTTGAGAATATCCACTACCGCATATCATCCCGTGGGTGTCGTAAGAGGCGACGGAGGGTAACAAATCAGGAGAGGTAGCAGCAGCGTCTTACTAATAACGACTAAAAATTAAAAACTGCGGTTGCCAACCCAGTTGCCTAGCGTGGTAACTATGGCAAATACCTACGGGGGCAATCTATGGCGGAGGCACATGTTCATCAGTGGACTTTAATAGGTTGTAACGATAATTTCGGTTTTAAGCTAAATTTGCCGAATACTATGTATACGGTCTTTGGTACTAAAGCTTTTTCGAGAATCGGTTTGCGCGGAAGGCTGGAAGTCGTCGCGTCTGAATGCGAGACGATTTCTAATGACTCTCGAAAACAGCACGTAGTTCAGTTCTTCAGCAGAGCGTTGTCGCCTTTCTTGAACAATATGACCACCGCACTCCTGCTCCACGTCTCTAGAGTAGTCCCACCATGCAAAACGGAATTAAACAGTTTCTGAAGGACTTCTAGAACTGGTTTTCCATCCGCGTTCAGAGGCTCCAGAAAGCTACTAACGGTAAGTGAATGTTTACATGAAGACCCTACAGTGTATTTTAGCAGAGTTACAACAAATTACTCATAAAATACCAACGCAAAAGAGGCTTGATTTAAAAGTTATTATCTAAAAGTTAAAACTTAACTTGTAGGTAGATTAAGTACTGTACAAATATGTAATCCCTAGTGAGGACATAAAGAAGTCTTATTTAAACCTCGATAACATCACGTGCTTGAAGGGTCAAGGCAAACAGGCTTTGGATTAAATAATACTCTGTTTATACTGCAGAGGACTTGTAATTCTTTGATACATGTTTAATCTCACTTTTGAATTATGCATTATGCATTAAGAGTAAGACTTGTTCTCTATTTGGTATCACAATTTAACAAATACGATGCGTGCCAGCTAAGTTTAAAAGGAAATTAAGGTTGAAGAGATTTCTTTCTTTAGAAGAGATTTGTTCCGATCTCCAAAAAAGAAGAATTTATGAACTTGGCTGCATTTTTTTAAATTAAAGAAAGTGTTTGTAAAACGATTTGCCTTTAGTAGTTAACCGATTTATATCTTTCTTATTTATTAAAAGAGATAAGTATATCTTTTTACAATGGTTCATTAATATAGGTATTAGTACTTAACTAAAATGAGTTTATTTTTAATTACGAGTACTCCAATTAAAATTACCTATCTCGTTTATATAGCGGTTCTAATTCTAATTACTTTTATGCAACTATTCCTTGGTTTTTTTATTTATTTATTTATAAGTCTTTACCATTTCGTTCTGTCTATCCGTCCTAGCGTCACTGCATTATAAGGCCGGTTTCACATATGAACATCTAATACACCTCGAACCACATATGAACATCTGATACAAGTATCCCTGATTATGTATGTATGGAGTATGAACGTATTCTGATAGTGGTTCACGATACGACGAACGACGATGCGATACTATATAACATGATACGCCGCGTCCCATCTCTAGTCGGATTTTCAATCAATTAAAAATCATCAATTATTAAATTACGATTCTATACACTGCAACACGATCTTGACTTTGGAGGTGAAAGCATTTGCTCCT